TCAAACAGAAACTGTTAAATTCACAGAGAAAAAAATATAATATTTTAGCTGAATTATATGTTTGTTACCATTACTTTTAATTGTTTATCTACCCGTCTGGCCAGCATGATATAGTAGGCCAAAACCTTATTTCTAAGGAGAGGCCTGTATCTAGCACTGAACTAGTAAAAGGCTGTACATGATAATATTATCGTTATAGTCGTAGAATAGTGTCGGATCTGACATTTATTGAACAGGGCAGCCATTTTAAAAATTATTTTTTTGACATAACTGTTTTAATCCTAAATCTGTTAGTATGAAAATTGTCATACAAATCAAAAATAGGGTTTGTTTTAAAATGGAATAAAAATAAAACAACTAATAATTACACAATTTTCTAGAAAAATCACATTCAATATTTCACTTTGAGCGCGTATCAAATCCGCATCTATTTCGTGGTACCCCAGATAACATGTGGAAATATGGCAGTCTTTACCATTAATATTTTTTCGATTTTTGGTCAATTTTTTTACGTTTTTGCCAAGATGAAATAGTAAAAAATCATCATCAACGAATTAAAGATACTTACGTTGAACAGTAGATACGTGACGGAAACAGAGTGTATTACAATGCAAAAAAAAATTGATCCTGCATTATTCTTATGACCGAACATGTTTTGCAATGTAAATAAGTATAACTCAATGTGATTATTCAAAGAGTAGTGCTCCCCGTATTACAACTTTTTTATAATGAAACTATCTGGTACCCGCGACTTGGTTCGTGTGAAATTTGAAAAGCGCTGCCTTAGTGGTGTAGAACAGTACGCGACTGCAGTCCATGAGGCCTCGGGTTCGATTCCCGGATAGGGCATAATTTTTCGGGGGGTTTTTTCCGCTAAAAAATAGCCTAAATTGCTTCTTACATAGACAGCTACCTGGTAGTAAAATATGATCAAAATTGGTACAGCCGTTTTGAAGATTACCCGGAACAAACAGACAGACAGATAAAAAATATTTAATCTGATTTTTTGGTATAGGTATCGTGCAAATGACCGTGACTTAAACACTTCAATTTTATTTATTTGTATAGAAGAAGTTCGACTGCATTCCGTTTCTACGCGGTCAGAACACAAAAACTTTAAATAATTAACATGTGCTACATTCGCTTCGTCAGCATACATTACAAGAACATACTCTACAAACCGTATACATGATATCTTTATTACGAAGTTCCAGAGTTTGTTTATAATTCACGTTTTTACGTTACTACAAGAGATTACTGAAATCGGAAGACTTGTATGTGTGTGAGTTGCACAAAATGGCATTCATTATTCTTAAAGTAGGTTTAAAAAGTTTAAATACAGGGCCATAACAAAATAAAACTTAACAGGGCCATAACAAAATAAAACTTATCTTGTTTTTTTTAAGCCCTGTGGCTTATCTATACTAATATTATAAAGCTGAAGAGTTTGTTTGTTTGGTTGTTTGTTTGTTTGTTTGAACGCGCTAATCTCAGGAACTACTGGTCCGATTTGAAAAATTCTTTCAGTGTTAGATAGCCCATTTATCGAGGAAGGCTATAGGCTATATATCATCACGCTAAGACCAATAGGAGCGGAGCACCAATGAAGAATGTTTCAAAAACGGAGAAAATTTATTACTATTGAGAGACGCAGACGAAGTTGCGCAGGTCAGCTAGTCAAAAATAAATCTGCAATGAAAAACACAATATCACAAATGCCTAGATGATCCATCCGCTCTCCAAGTGAGAAAAAACATCAGTGCTTCGCCGGAAACTGCGTTGCGTCTCTGCTAAGTCTGTTTGGAATCCAAAAGGTGTCATATTTTATCAGAAATAATAGAGGTTAAAGTGTGAAATTGCCTCTGTATAGTACCCAATAGATACTTTGAATTGACATTAAACCTTCATGGCGTGCGCTATTCGAGACACTTTTTGCTTCTTACAACCAATATGTGGAACGGTTTATCGTCTACTACCGATAGGCGGGGTAAGCCTTCTTTCTCGTAATAGGGCCTGGCTAGGCGCAGCGTCGATCCAGGGGGGACCTGAACCGAGAGAGGAGACCGGCTGTCGGGGTGGTTTTTAGTTTAACCACCACATACTCCTGGCTCCTGCGTCCTCGAAGAGCCAGAGATCCGAAGGGATTTTCCACCCCGTCAACTAAAAAAAGGTCAGCGCTCTTGGAGGCTGGCGATTGTTTAACTTTTCAGCGCCCGATGCTTATTCTGGGGGATGGAAAAGTGCTGAGTTTCTAGTGTCTCTCTTCCGTCGCATCGCCTCTTAGGTATGCATCACGTCGCTGATGTACTTTCGCTTCGAAACATGAAATTAAACTAAGTTTTACCAAAGCAAAACATTAAGTTTTACTTACATTAAAAATTTGTTATTCAAACCTAATGCCATCTATGACAAAGCAATCGCACTATTCATAACCAAACTCTATTCGTTTTAAATATTATTCAACAAATACCACTAGATGGCGTGCAAACTGTTAGGTAGATATTGTGAATATGTACTTGCGATATACCTCTCTTGCAGAATCTTAAATGACTCAAGCAAAAATTTACTTGAAAATGAATTGAATTGACAAGTAAATTTTTTACTGAAAGTAACTGCTTAAATGCACACTTTAGTAAGGACTACAGCGACATAAGCAGTTGTCCATTAAATTATTATTTGTATATCGTCTGTTGTATTTGTGTATGCTATAACTATGTTATAAAATAATAAAGACTTGCAAACAGCGATGCTTTAGGGTAATTTTGGATACAACACCAATTACAATTTACAATAAACATCTAATTAATAAAAATTGTGTAAAATAATATTTTTATGATAGATAACACATCTAGAAAGGAATTGAAATTAATATGCCAAAGCCCAAACCTAAAAGTATGATACTTTCTCAGTAAAGTGTACCACCAAAATGCATAGATTGTGGATTAATGTTAGTGGGAATCGTAAAAAAGTGATAATTACTCCGGCCCACCGCCTTCAGCTCTATAAGACGCAAGTCCGGCCGCATATGGAATACTGTTCTCATCTCTATGACGGGGCACCTCAGTACCAGCTTCTCCCTCTGGACCGCATCCAACGAAGAGCGACTCAACGTCGATAGCCCAAACATCTCCGATCGGCTCGATCTCTTGGCGTTACGTAGAGACGTGGCTTCACTCTGCATTCTCTATCGCATATATCATAGAGAATGGTCCGAGGACTAATACCAGCCGCAACTTTCCGCCATCGTTCCACACGGCAAAATTTTCATCCTCTTCACATGGATAACAATCTGTGGAACAAGTTATCGTCTGCGGTATTTCCGGACCGATACAACATTCAAACCTTCAAGAAAAGAGCGTACTCCTTCCTAAAAGGTCGGCAACGCGTTTGACTCCTGAGTTGCAGACGTTCATGGGCGGCGATGGTCACTTTCCTAACTTCCTCTAACATAAAAAAATAAAAATTTAGGAATAGCTTGAAGGCCTTGGTTAATTCGGCAGTAAATACAAACGAAAATAAAAACCACTATATTCAAAAGGATAGCTGTCAGAGTAATCAGCAAAAATGATAATAGACTAACAACTCTACAGCTGTTAATAGACTAAGGTATTGAAAGGAATAAAAAATAAAGAGATATTATAATTATCTAATATATTTATTAAATTACCATATAATAATACTAGTAACAATTATGGCCATAATTACGCACAAATAACGTTTCCTCACTCTAAGTCAACGTAAATTTGTACTATATTTTAATAGTAAATAAATCGTATTTAAAACTACTAATAAACAGGTGGTATTTCTTCCACAGTCAGTACAACAGCTTAAAATCCATAAGGTACTGAATTCCTTAATCAATAATTACAATACTAACCTAAGTCTTAGATTATTTGGTAGATACACGAATGGATAAAGACACTAAATTTAGTAATAGTATAAACAAGTACATGTAACCACAGACAAGAAAATCCATCTAAAAGTTAGTAATATTCAATTTAGTTAGACTTAAGGATCAATGCTGCCAGACCATATCAGTTAAAAAATGTTTCTTTTTTTAATAAGTACCCTTCTAAGTCTGTATTTTACACAACAATAGACAGACATTGTTAATAATTAATTTAAAAAAAAGTATTTGTCACATTTTTTTTATTTGTAATCAGTTCACAAATGGCAAAGTCATATACATATTTAAAAAAATCAATATGAATTTGAACTCAGAATCCAAAACTTTGAAGCTGATCAAAAATGGGAATTAAGATAAAAAAACAACACATCCAACAGTTAAATCCAGTTTTCATTAAATGTTAGTATACTTTCTTAGGTTAAGCTGTCTCGAAACTTAATAATAACGAATTATTAAGTAGAAACTGATGAAGTTTCATGTCAACAGTATTTAGTAGGGCTCCCGAATGTCTCAAGCTATTAAATACATGTCATTATCCAAGTGACAACATTAGCACACTTGTATTTGAGCTACAGTCAGAGAATAATAAACTTTTTTACACAGTGATTAGGTCCATAATGGAATGTGTATGATAACAATAGGCAATTTCTTTTATGTATTTTTTGATGCTGGATTATTATAGGCCAGGGTTAGTGGTAAGACCACCCTACAATTAGTAAATGTTAATATAGGTTCAATAAATACAGCATGGATGTTACAGATACTTTGGCATGGGTATATACCATTTTATCAACCTGGCAACATAGACTACAATATTTTGGTATGTCAACATTGTGATTTGTTCATCTTTTGTCATTCTTGACCTAAGCAACTGGGAAAGGCCATGGATATTTATACATAATTTGATTTAAAATATAGGCATCTGTCTAGTTATCAAACATAATTCAAATATGTATTCAATAACAAAAGAAAAAGCAATTCTAAATGCTTAATTCCAAGGTCATTTTATAATAATAATAGAAACTAATCAGTACTAAAAATATAACATTTAACTTACTAAAAATATTTTGTGATATAGATATGACACTATTTCTTAAAGAACAAAACCTGAATCCAAAAATTGTTTTTCCATCAGCTTCTTCATCTTTTCCGGAATGGGGACTCCAGAGTGTGCTGGTTTGGGACGTCGTTTCCATGTAGAGGCCTTCTTAGCGCTCTTTGTCACACTCTCGGGTAATGGGACAGATTTGTTCTCCTTTGGTTTTGGTGTAGCTACAGTTGGGACGGTGCTAGTCCGTTGTCTTGTCAACCTGACTTCAGGATTAGCATTTTTGACTGTAAACATAAAAATTAACATTAAACTTCAACTTTTGTTAAATGGCTGTGTGGTATAATGTTACTACAATTTTGCTAATACATGTCATATATTTCAAAGACAATATGATTGTACTTGTAATTTTAGAATAAAAAAAAAATATATATATTTATTTACAAAACAGTAGAAAGAAAAACTGTAAAGACAAAATGACGACAAGGATCAGTCCTCCCCCAGAATCAGGAGAAGGAGAGGTTTGGGCTCCGGTAACCTCACTCATGGTTAAAAGCAATGAATGAACTGCTTAACACCGGTTTTCTGTGAAGCCCTGGTATAGCACCTTACCCCAATTTACCTTCTCTCTACCTTATGAAAACTATTACAATCCCATGGAGGGTTAGCGTCATGTAGGCAGCCAGCCATAAGAAAAAACCAGCCACAACCAATGCAATATTACAAATTTCACCAACGTCAAATAAAACTGAGAAGAAACGCAGAAAATAGATACTAATGACTTAAGTATATTCTGAGCAGTTTCATGTTATTTTATAAATAAAGTGATAAAATTTAATAAAAAGGACATTATGTTTTGGATGTAGTCGAGTTAGGTTTTAATATAATTATGGTTGTGGTATCATAATAATCATTACGATTTTGTTTCTACGTAAAAATTGCCCAAATACAAATACGGCTTACTTTTGAGGGGAGTCTTCTCCACCGTTTTTTTAGTCAGAATAGTCTTTTTTATCGCCCCAATCGGTGATGCTTTGATTTTCGTAGCTATGTCCTTTACTGTGCGTTGAACTTTAGTTGTAGACTTCGGTGTTTCTCGGGGCGCCATAGTTCACAATTTCAAAGATTATCAATTTTAGTAAACAATTAAACAAACCCAAACTAACAAATAAAATCGTTACGAAAGCGTCAAGCGGCTATTCAAAAATAACGTGCAGAACTGCCATAAACAACTTTTGATTGACAGTTGATTTGACAGGTGATCAGGGATGTTAGAATGTGGTGAGCCAAAACTGGTACACAAGACGATAAAAGCCACTAAAAGCTGGTATTTGAAAAAAAAGTTGGTACACTCTATAAAGTTGCATTAATTTTAAAAAAATTGTTTATTATGTATGTTCTTTTAAATTAAATTTTGAATTACCGAAGAAATTCGTGATTATTAATATTAAAACTAATAATCATTATTCTCAGTATTCGTTAACATTTTATTATTAGATCTTATAAATGTAAATTAATAATTTGAAAAACATAATAAAAATCAAGCGTGAGTTACATTGACCTAATTTTATATCATTCAAAATAATACCCGTCATCCATGGATAATTCGATCTTCAATCGATCGAATCAACCATATCAATATCCATAAAGTTAATCTGAAGTAAGTTAGGCAATAGCTCAAAAATAAATATCATTATGAACAGTAAATTTTTACAATAATCAATGCCATAACTATGACGTGCAGCAAGAACTTATTTATTGTTAGTTACAAGTTTCTTTGTATGATCAATGTAGAAAGTTGGTATTATCGCTTACCAGCACAGTATTTAGTTGGTACATGGTACAACACCCTGAATGATGTACATGTACCAAGAAATTGGTACGTAAAACATCCCTGCAGGTGACTGAGTTGATTTAAAAGTAAATTAGTTTGAAATTATCAAATTATTTTATTAATTATTTTAAGTACTCTTCCATTGGTGTTTTTCATTATTTTAAAAAATTGTGACTTTTATTATAACTGTGATACAGCAAAAGCTAGCAGCAAACTAGCTTTATAAATCCACCAATTCATTGTATTAACTGTAATTTTTGGTTTTAATTGGGCATTTTCGCGAAAAGGTGTCCACGTGACGAACGTGGAGTTTTATTAATGTCAGAAAAAAATATAATTCTTTTTTGTAGTATGATATCAAACAATAATTGAAGTGTACTAATATGTAATTGAAATCCACTTTAATACATAAAATCAGGAAAAAAAAGGAAATTTTTCGTGACAAAGCGGAGCAAGTTATTCCGCGTCATGAAATGTAGGGCTGTCTTTATTTTTTTTATTATAAAGTAGGTTTCAATAGTAGGCAATTATTATAGTAGGCGATCTGGTATCATTACTTTTCTACAGTTAATTAGCCTTTCACTAATAAATATTTTCTGCTTTTTATAATTAAACCTTAATCTACAGAGCTCAAACCTGTAGTCATACTACAGGTTTGGTAACTTTTAACCATTTAAACTAAAGAAAATCAACATTTGTTTTGTTAAAAAAGTAGTACAGTTACTATGTAGGAAAATATCTTAACTTAATTGAAATGTAAAGTTTACTTTAATTAAGTTTTTCTTTAGCCGCTCTAGTTGCTTCCCTCATATCTTACTACTCGACCAAGCGAACTAGACGACTGTCAAACTTTGACGTCACTGACGTCGGGTACGGATAGCAGAAGAATCCGAATGATATTATAAATAGGTGTTATTTTTTCCTATTAAAAATTACACAAAGTATTGAGCCCGCGTATTAAGTATTACGCTTTGTTTATCATTAGTTCAATTACTGTTCCAAGTGAGCGCTAATCTTTATAAGCATTTGGTATAAAGAATTGGAATGTTACACGAGAAAATATTTTATAAAAATTAGTTATTTGCGTTATCTACAGATATTTAATTATTACGGATTTGGGTGCTTCTATGTATTATAATAAAGTATATATCTATAAATCAAAAGTATATAAGTATGTTTATCGGTCTTCTAGTAACCATAGTACAAGGTCAGCTTAGTTTGGGATTAGATGGCGCAGTGTGAATCATCATTATCAGAGCGTAGTATTGTATACAAAAATGAGAATGATATAAAATGATATATAAATAAGTCATTGGACAGGGTGAGGACTGCTGAAATTCGGAACTCTTATTTTTTTTTTACTGTCTACTATGTATTGTTTTATTTTTTCCCATTTTCCTAACAGTTTTAATAAGTAACAAAAACTTAACGAATTACTAGATGTCCCGGCAAAAGTTGTATTGCAAAACAAAAAAAAATTAGGGATGGGTCACCATTTAGGGGTATGAAAAATAGATGTTGGCCGATTCTCAGACCTACCCGATGTGCACACAAAATTTCATGAGAATCGGTCAAGCCGTTTCGGAGGAGTACGGGAACGAACATTGTGACACGAGAATTTTATATATAAGAAGACAAACTTAACAACATACGAATGAAAGTTAAGAGAAAAAAAAAACACGTGCTAGCGGTAGCAACCTTGCGGACGGTACTAAGACGATCGCGGTACCTGCAGCGAGGTGCGGGCGGGGAGGCCGCATTCGCAGATCTGAAATTACACAAAAACATGGTTTTATTCAACATAATTTTTCAAAAATTCAATAAAGTTGCTTGACACTGGACTGGGGGGGGTAGTACAATAAGCATTTTGTAAAATTTTACAACACACGTGTGCAGCGTGTGGTGAGAATTTCACGTCTACCTACATAAACAGCACACTGTCATTTAGTCTTTCCCGACAAACAAACTACAATAACTCATCTCACCTGAGAATTAATGTGTTCATACATAAAGATCATATATACTCAAACTTATATAACTCTACAGTTTAAAACACACATTCTTATTTGTTTTTGTGTAGTTGGGTAAAGCACAATGTAGACAAGTCTTTATATTTCCAAAACGTCACGATTATTATTCCGCATATATGTCATGTGACGATACGGACGTGATGTTCTGCACCAAAAATATCTTGATTTTTTATCGTTTTGATGGACTAATTGTTGATCAATTAGAATATTCATACAAATAATTAAACAATTATTTGAATGAAACATCAATACAACAAAAAATACTTACAGTTGAGAAGAAATGCTGTAACTATTTCGAAACAATACTTTTCAACAAACAAATAAATATTTGACATGATGACAGCTTTCGTAGGCAGGTAATGTTATTAGGATCAAAATTAGAAAAAGCTTTGATAGTTTTTAATTAAAAACGCATTTAAAACACATTTTTACCGTCGCGACTATGTAGGATTTTCCACCATATGCTAATTTCGTGGACAGGTTTTAATCAATGGTATTTTAGTATTTTTGTTTCAAAATTTACTAAACAATGCGCCTGTCAAATAATAGGTCTTTACCTATGAAATTGCCGTCTTACTTCGAATAACAGAAATAAAAAAGTTTGAAAAAATAACTACTTTCACTTATTGCATACAAAACGGCAATTTCATAGGTAAAGACCTATTAAAACATATTTAGACACACCTGCATAACCCTCTATAAAATATTTATGACCTAGACAAGTTTTAAGCATTTAAAGTTGCCTGAGACAACTTAGGACATAGAAAAATTTGCATGGTTTGTAATATTAAAATAAAAGTTTTCTATAAGAAAGTAAATCGAATGTAGATTTATGCTTCATTTTTATGATAAAAACATATTTACTAAACGCAAAATAAAACAACTGTATTAAAAGTGAGAGAAATAGTGAGCAATGCTTTATTGAAGTCGGTGGACAACCGTTTTTACTCGTGTGCAACATTTCGCTCAAAAAACCCAATTATGTTTTCTAATTTTATAGTTTTGCGTAATATTAAACACCATAACGAAAAGTTATGTTATTATGATAAATTCAAATTTCGATTACCTACTAAAAATCAAAAATTAAAACCTAGTATTGCGAATATTACTGGACATGACCTAAAAGAGGCATAATACTTTTGATTAGCAAACATTATGCGATAATTTAAACATTTGGTGTCAAAATTAGGTAAGGCAATAACATTTCGATCAATGAAAACCTCTTTCTATATAGATAGACCTATATTCAATTTAACTTCTCGTAATGGCCGTATCTATAACGCTCTGTTGAGTTACATTATGATAATACGGATTTTAGAACTTTCATAACCACAACGGTCATTGACTTTTGCCAAGCAATAGGTATTTTGCATTATCAGCAGCACCATTACGGCGTTATCACAATTGCCAACATGAAAAAAAAATAAAAGTAGAATGATATTGATTCTAACAATACTCATGGTATAATAATATATTAATATTAAATGTTGTTGGTGATGGACAAATATCAATGAATGTGTTATAAATCGCGAATGTGTGCGACTTTATCTGTAAAATTTTTTGGCGACATAATGACATGCAAAATAACGGCAACATCGCTATTTGGCGTCCATCTTTAATCTTTTGATGTGTTGTGTTTTTTAACAAAATTGTATTGGGATTATTACTGTAATAAACTAGTACATAATTTGTTTTCACGAGCTTTCTTTGAGGACTATGTTGTTAAACAGTAACAAAATAGTTCTCAAAGTGTCCCAGTATGATTATCGTTTAAAAGTGTCACAGTATCATTAACGTTTGTTCTAAGAGTTTCACTGTTCTTTGCTATTGACCTAGGTGCTAATTAATGGACCAACCTTCAAATGTTTTCATTAGATTTCTTGTAATCGATGAAGTGTATTCCTAGTGATCAATTACATTATTACTATAAAAACATTTTTCTGTTGTCGCAGTAGATGAAGTGTGCAAATGGATAGGTTGAGCGAGTTGAGGGGTGAGGCGGGGAGTTCGCAGGACTCCACACTGGACACCACGTCCTCTCCAACTGAGGCTTTCATGACCGCCAACGAGAGCTCTTCAAAGTTTTATTCTCTGTCAGAAGTTGACGCTACATTCGACATTTCGTGCATGAAAGATGACATTTCTTCCATAAAAGATGTATCGCTGGCTACAACCACCTCCGAAGCTGAAGGTACTATGACTAACTCCGATGAGTTAATATCAAATTTATCACCGATTAGGAAAAAAACTGATTTAGACACCTTCAAAATTCACTCCCATATTGAAGCAGCAAACATTTTATCAGGTGGTGTAGCCATTTTTGATGACAACTCTTATGACGGTAGTGAACTGGTGATAGATGACAATGTAGAAGTAGATGAGAAGTCCAACCCGGAGCTTAAGCAAACTGAGAACTTGGAGTTTAAATCAGATGAGAATATAGAAACTGGTCTTATAAGTGAGGAGACGGACATAGGAAGTAAAGACACTGAAGTATTGCTACAAATTGATGGTAAAAATGTTGATGCTATAGATATTGGTAATGGATTATACTTGTACAGGAAAGAGGGTCAAGAAGAACTGGCTGCAGTTCAGATCATTGATAATGACCAGCAGCAACCCAGTTTTAAGTTCCTCAAAGTCCGGTAAGTGTTTGTTATATTATTAACTCTATTGTTAGTATGTGTGTCTTTGAGTTTTTAGATCTGGATAACTGGTGTACTATTTTTTAAATGTAGATTAAATATCATCTTAGCATTTCTATTATATCTAATTAAATGTTGTCTTAATGTTTTCATTTCATCATCAGCCTATCGCAGTCCACTGCAGGACATAGGCCTCTCCCATTTAGACATCATTAAATTGAAGTCAATTTTTTTTAAAGTATTTTGACATGGTCTGCTCTTTCAAATTGTCTGAATACTTAAAATTGTTGTTTATAGTATATATTTCAAGTGCCTCAACATATGTTAAAACAAAACATATTTGTTTGTATATAAAAAAGTATTTATGGGATTTGTGACCTAAAATTTTAAACTTAAATTATATCACTTTATCAACTGCCTATAACAGTCCACTGCTGGACATAGACCTCTCACACTTTATATTTAGCAGTGTGTATTTATTTAATTGTATCTAATATTATTGTAACATCGCTAATTTTAGATACTCATACGGTCAAAATGTACCAATGTAATTTTAAGTACTAATAGAACAATACATATGCACAAGAAAGTATATTAGTTCCATTGTTTTCTTCAACTTCTCTGTTGTGTTCTGTTTTGAAATTAATATCCATTGCACCTACTCACACATTTCCGCACCACCCTAAGCGAGCTTGTGAGAAAATGCTAGTGGCATTAAGTCCACCATTCTACAACTTTTACTTGTGCATAAAGAATCAAATATATAAATAACAATAATGAATGAGTAAATAAGGACTAAGTTGAATAAGTTACCTAGACTAAGGTAAGTTTAGTGTAGTTTTTAAATTACAAAAAGTTTTTGTGTTTGAAATGACACTTATATACACCATATAACGATTAAAAAGTCATAAGGAAAGATTAAAAAGTCACTAAAGAAACAAACAAAATTATGAGTAAATTTATTTGTTTTACTTTTAAAATAATATTTACCCTGCGGTATGAAGCTCTTTTATAATTATTATAGCCTTGCGGATTATATGTATCTAGATTAAAATGTACCTATCAAAGCAGCACATTATTTGGAACAGTAAAAATAAACACCACAATTATAAAATAATAGGAATTAATTTATTTTCTCATTAATACCTTTCTTAATGAGTATCTGATGCCATATTCATTTAATAAATTGTCCGGTGCAATAGTAGTGTCTACTTTTCTGAAAACAAGAGATAGAAGCTTATAGGAGAATGATGAGGGTGAATTCAGCTTTTTAAAATGTTCTTATTTTAAACTTATTGCTGCCTGAAACAAAACTAACAAAGTTTAGTGAGAGAATCAATAACATTTTAAAATGCAGATAGAGAGGAAAAAGTCTTTAATAAAAAAATAAAAAGTGATATTGTATTCTAAATAATATTTATAATTTTGCCAAGTTTCCAAGGTTAAATTATAGGATGTTGCTGCCACGATTCACTGTGGCAAATTGTGCTTGCAAAAATAGATAGAAACCAACTCTGAAGTGTGTCCCATATTGTGTCCAAATTTGAGCTCAATCAGAGCAGAACTTTTTAAGTTTTTGAAGCCAAACCAACTTAAGATTTTTATATATAAATAGATATTATTTATTTGTCACTTTAATTTCTTATTTTGTATAACATATAAATTTTTGTTAACATGTTCAGTATTTAAAAATAATATCTTGATAGCTTTTAAAACAAGAGACATATAAGAATCTATTTTTAAATTATCTTCAAAACAGTTATTGATTGACTTTGTGTCCATATTTGTAAATGGAGTATAAAAATGTATCTAATATATATTGTGTTTACATTTCAACTCATGCATATTTGAACATATCAATTTACTTGTGAAACACCAGCAAATGAAATGACACAAGATTTACACAAGTTCTTAAACAATAAGTTTATACTCTCACCTGTCTTCAGAGCCCGTCATATAACTTTCTATTACCTGGCATGATACAGCGACATGACAAGCACTACTACAAAGGAAACGATACAGCCACTTGTGGCCACACTGAGGCTAGCCATCTGTTCCCATGTCCCTGCATCATCACTTACTAGACTACTAGTCACCCCATACATTAAAATATTGTTTGAATTTTAGATATTCTGCTCATATTTACAGCAATGATGTGATTGAATAATTGTTATTTGGAAATGTTTGTTGAGTCTTCATCACATTTCATTTGTTGTGTGTGCCAAACAATAATCTGGTGTGTCAGACTTGATCCAACAAAAACCACAGGTATTCTATCACTCATTGCTAGGGCCTAGACTCAATGCACCAAGCACTTTTACTATTTTTAAATGAGGGTTACCAAAACCCTTAATGTAAAAAGTGAGGTTTGCAACACCCTTTTTGTAGGTTACAAGATGTCATGTCATGTCACTTCAAATTTTTTTATCTTTTTTCAATAATACTATGGCAGTTACTAGATTATTATTTAAAGGTCTTTGTAAAGATACAGATTTTATAAGACAGCTTTCTTGACACAAATGTTCAATTGGACAAATTTATGCTGTGTCAAACTCGGACATAGTGTACTTGAAGTTTGTTAATTAATACAGAAATAATAAAAAGAAAATTGTCTTTTTCAGTGAAAATGCTGAGGGCAACTTAGAGGTTTATGAAGAAATAGAAGTTGAAGTCTCCAAGGAAGTGGTATGTTTAAAGTTGTTTACTGTTCATGTCCACTCTTAATGACTGCATGGATGGCGTAGTGGTTAAAGCGGTCGCCACGCCGCTTCCTACTACGACGAGTGTTGTGGGTTCAAACCCCACATGGAACAACACTTTGTGTGATCCACAAATTGTTGTTCTGAGTCTGGGTGTACTTTGTGTCCGTTTCATGTATGTTTGTAAAGTCCCCCGCGACACAGGATTTATTCCTAGTGCGGGAGTTGTCTTTTTAAAAGAAAAAAAAAAAAAAAAAAAAAAATGATAGGTTCATTAAGAGTGGACATGAAAAGTAAACAACTATCCCAACGTAAACATTAACCATACTTATGATAAACTAATAATTTTCATTTTTCTCTAATTGTTCTTTCAGCCTGCTAAAGAATCTAAGACAGTTGATAGAAGTACACCATCTCATGTCCCTATAAGGGATATAAACAAGGTCATTAGTGACTCTACCTGTAATAGAGCAACAGATAAACAAATCAAAGTACCAAAAAAAGAACCAATAATAAGTACTATAGTAGAAAATGAGAATAAAGAACTTTTACCAGAGAGCAAATCGGAGGTTAATTTTAATGGTAAAATGATGAAGCTTAGCGAATCTAGGAAATCACCAGTTATAGGCAGTTATACACCTATGACATACCATTCTACTCCTAAGAAAGAAGGTATACCATTGACAAAAACAATGGTAGACCAACAGCTACATCCTAACAGGCACTCAGACCTCTCTAACAATAAAAAGACTATCGAAGTTCATACAGATAGTGGTAAAAAAACCATTGAAACACCATCAAAATCCAAAGACATAGATGACACTAAGATTAATGAAGTTTTACCTACTGAGAAAGAAATAATAACTACTGATAAAGATGTTATTAATCTTGAAACAAATAATAAGAATATTATGGTAGATAAAGAGAAAGGTGAAAGAAAATGTGAAATAAAAGAAAGTTCCGAAAAGAGTAAACTTATTGAAAAAGATATTGATGATAAGATTATCAAAGATATTTCAGAACAGAACAAGGATATTCGAATAAAACAAGACGGTTCTATTGATTCTACAGAAAATAAGGTAGCTAATAAACAAATAGAAATTACTTCACCATTAAATCCTACCCTTGGAGAAAAAGATATTGAAGCAAATGAAGTAGTTAATGAGGAAAGTGTCCCATTTAATGATAAAATTGAGGAACTAATTGATGAAACAAAAACACCTTTGGAAATGAATGATAACACAGAAGTAACTTTGGTGACAGACCTGTCTAATAATGAAAGTAAAGCAGTTTGTGAAGATAATACTCTAATTGAGCAAAAAGAATCTAAAAAAGAAAACGATGTCGAGAAAACTGAGACGGCTACCAGTGAAACCATTGTTATTGAGGATGATGATGATGTAAGTATTGTTGAAGTTGTGGTAGAAAACAAAAATGAGAACGAGAATACAGTTGCTGATAGCAAGAGCAAGGCACAAGTAGACGAAAATAATGAAGGTAATCTGAAAATATGTGTGACTACTGCAATTCCTAGTATGGATAACAGAGAAACTGAAGAAATAACTATAAGAGATGCAGATATTATTGTTGTAGAATCTGTTACCACAACATCAATCGTTACGGATTCTGGGGTTCAGCCTAAACTGAAAAATGAAACAGTTATACCCGAAAAAGAGCTTAAAAAACCATCGATGTCTTCCAATATTAAAGAGGACACAGTAGCTCCACCAGTTCAAGGTAAACCAACAAATAATGAAGTTGCTTCTATGGAAATTATGAATAAGGATATTTCATACAAAGATAACGAAAATGTTCTAGTGAAGCCATCTGTAAATGACTTAAAACAAATAGATCTGCTTCCTAATGTCGCTGATGATATACAAAATAACAAACCAATGGAATCTTCAGAAAAGAAAAATGCTGCTCCAAAAGATGGGACAGGAAAACACGTCTTCGCAGCTAACATATCTCCTTTATTAGAGCAAAAGCAACAGTCTTTAGTCACCTCTAGAGTAGGGTCAATAAAATCAGGATTGCCAGAAAAAACGGAAGAAAAGAACCCCTCCCCATCTATCAATGACATCAGAACAGTCAATAAATTTGTGGAACAGAATAGAGAAAAGAAGTTATTTGATGTGCATTCAAAAAATATTCCTTCAAAACCAATTCAGGTCACTGGATCTACGCCTGTCGTGGCACAAATGCAAGTATATTCTATTAACGCACCTCCTCAACATTTGAATAAAAATAAGGCTGTAAGCATAGTCAACAGTGCAACAGAGCTTAGAAAAAATACAATTCCATTGCCCATTAAAAATATTACAGTAGATAAGCCTCGACCTGCACTTGATATGAAATCTTCATTTACTAATCAACGAAATGATAAAAATGAAGTCAAGGTACCCCCAAAAGTACGTGAAAAAGCTAGTTGTGTGATGAATATTGAAATAAGTAAGGTGCCAAAGGTAGAATCAGTTAAAACTAGTACATTAGTCAAACAAACTGACCATAGTATGGACAGTAAACTGAATAGCCAAGGCTTGAAAAATAAAATTGAACCAAAAGATAAAAAGGAAGTTTCTAAAATGACTGAATCAAAACCAATAAACAATAATCATGCAGCAGTGCCTTTCGGTAAATGGACAGAGGCTAACAAACAAGAATTCTTAAATAAATTCAAAACTAAAACAGCTGTTATTTCATCCAATAGTAACCAGCTTAAAAATTCCAATGATTTGAATAGAAGAGATGTTCTTAAGAAAATCGACAGTCAAAGACAATCTAGTACTGCTTTATCAAAAACTCAAGAAGCCAACAAGAATACCATGAAATCAGAAATAACTTTTTCGAATAAACCCAATATAATAATTAAAGAAAGCACACAAGGAAGTAAAATATTACAAAATACTGATATAACGGAAGTGAAACCAAAACCTACGGCTTCTATAAATACGACTAAGATAGATGTTGTACCAAAGAACCAAATTGAATCACAAACATCTGCTGTGAGCAGTTCATCTAAAAAAGAAGTTTGTCAGACAAAGGAGAAAGTCCAAAATTTGATTGATAAAACGATTGAAGGCATGATACACCGGAATACACATGCTAATAAGCCACAAAATGAGCCTAAACAAAATACAGCAATAGACCCTAACCCTCCAAAGACAGCAACAAGCACAATTGACCCTCAAACAAAAAAAATAAAAATCATCCAACAACCAACTTGTGACGCTAAACTAGATGAAATAGAAATGAAAATGAATGAGTTACATGGAATCCCTTTCATAGAAAGACCAGCACATGAATTGCCACAAGTATATAAGCCTGAAACTAAAGCTTATTCTATTATAGAAAAAGAAAAGCTTGCAGTACCAGTCAAAACCAAAATACCAAATCTCTTACCATTCCCTAACAAAACTCAACAAAAAGTTAGTAAAGAAAGCGTAATAGAAGTAGACTCTGAGGATGAAATCATTGAGCATGAGCCTATCACAGGGGATATTGATTTAAACAAGAAAAATCTAATAGTAAAACCATTAGTTAAGGAAAAGTTACCAATTCAACAAGAAAAGGCAGCAATTGAAGCGCCTAAAATAGAATCCATAATTACTGAAAAAGATTTTGATAAATTCGCAAGAAGAAATTCGATTACATGCGAAAATTATCTAACAGTAAACTTTGAAGGCAAAGAACCTAACAACGTGGTTCAAACTGTAGTGGAAAAAGAACCAACTCTTAAGAATTTGTCAAGGATTGATACAGGCCGAACTGATTCGAAGACGAAACTGTCACATAAAAATCAAAATGTACGTCCTTCCACACAAGCAGCGAAACATCATCCAGGAAATACTTTTGTACCAGCAACTGATGATGCTTCAAATAGAAATCAATCAAAGTTACAAAAAGCTTATCATTCAGCTTTGACAGAGAAACGCCAAATGGCGTCAGATTGTGCAATAACTATTATTGAGGATAAACCAGTTAAGGTACTCTTTGTGAATAATGTCGAATATGGTCCAACCCAGTTAGATGTTCAGGGCCAAGACCTTTCACCTGTCAAGAAAACAGTTCCTGACTCGGATATAACTGATAATATATGTAATTCTTCTCATACAGATTTACTAGATCCTATTGATGATGTTAAATCACAAGATGATGTCAAGGGTAAGACTAAACATCAAAGGAAACAAGTACTTACTCCTGTTGAAGAACCAGAGTTGGAACTCATTGAACCTCAAGATTTAAACATTGATGTTTCCCCCAAAAAGAAGAGAAGAATTGATGATGATAAAATAGATAAAAACTTAAAATATCCAATGCGCAAGAAGTATCTACTCGGTTCTAGTACTGTAACAGAAGAAAAAGTAACTAGCCCTATTGCAACAGTGAAAAATCCATTAAAAGAGACTGTTAACCTCCACGATAATGGTGTGGCACATAATAATCCTGTCTCAGCATTGGATAGTTTAGTAAAAGCAGCTGAATTAATTGAAACTCAAACAGAGACTATGAACAATAGCCTTACCTCAAATTCTGACAGTCACTCAAGTACACCTGTGAAAAGAGGACGGGGTCGTCCAAGAAAATATCCTTTAACTCCTGATGGGACAGTTGACACAAGTAAAGTGACTGCTCCCAGCCCTCAAAAGAAGCCACGACTCATAGATGCTATAAAACCTAAACGGGACGTCACCACTGACGACGACACAGATAGTGAAGGTGAAATTATCAAAGAAAACTGGACAATGGGCAAAATTAATGAAAATATCGTATGCCCAATTTGTAATAAACTCTTCAGAACTGAGAACGTAGTTTTTAAACATGTAAAACATTGCACAGGCCCATCGCCTAACAGATCTGATTCAGATAAGAGAAGTCCAAGGAGAACGAGAATAGACTCTGACAGTAAATCTCAGGACAGTAAGTCCGATGATATGGATATTGATGACGACAAACCATTAATTACACAAAAAGTAAGTCTTAAGAAACGTAAATCCAAAGATTCTAGATCCAAATCGCTTGAAAAAGATGATATTATTGTCATCGAAGACACACCCATTAAAGAAAAACCCGAAAAAATTGAGGAACGAAAAACTCATGTGTCAAGAAAATTAACGACTAAGATACCGCTCAAAAACGACAGTTTGGTTTGTGAATTCTGCGGAAAAATATTTAGGCAGCTGTCGTATTTGGTAAGTCATAAATTGCAACACAAAAAAATACAGAAAGTAGAACCAAGCAAAACGGAAAAGATTGCTCCGATTACTGACAAATCAGTATACAGTTGTGAAGTATGTAAAAAGGAGTTTAGAAAATTGCATCACTTGGTTCAGCATCGCATAATACATAACCCCAGCTCAGTAACGGCAAGGTCTTCAAGAAAGAGCTCTTCGGAACACTCGGAAAACAAAGTCGATAAAGAGCGAAGCACTTCTAAACAAAGTGATGACCCAAGTGCCGGTTTTCGTTGTGAACCATGCGATAAGTCATTCAGAAAACTACACCATTTAGTGGAACACAGAGAAACCCACGATGGTATAAATCGACAAAAAACGATAACAGCTGTTCCGAACAAAGAAGAGAAACCTGTAGAGAAGCCTGTTGTTCTCCACCAATGTGACATTTGCAAGAAAACATTTAAAAAATTATCACATCTAAATGAGCACAAAGAACAACATGTTGAAACAAGTTCAGAAAAATCAGATGACAAAAGTGTTAAAAGTTCCCTTTCTACTAAAGACATTATACACGAATGTTCACTTTGCTACATGGTTTTCCCCAATGAACATTCACTTAATAAGCATACAGTTTTTTGTCAAAGGAAGAAGCGGCAATCTAAACAACCTAAACCAGCAGATGAAACTGAAGGTAGCGAGGATGTTATTGAATGTTTAGCACCAGAAGAAGAGATTGAAAGTCTTGATTCTAAAAAAGCCGAAGTCAGTGTAATGGAAAAAGATGTAGAAAAGAATGAGTTTGTTGAAAAAGTGGAAGTAGCGAAGGATAAACTAGTAGAAAAAGAGTCATTAGACACTGTCAAAGAGAAACCTATAGAAGTAATAAAAATTGAAGAACCAGAAATTTTATTACCAAAATTAGAAGCGAAGCCTCCAGAATCACAAGCGCCCCGTACAAAAAACGATTTAGTGATAGTAGAAACTTCTCATAAAGAAGCAACAGCTGAAATGTCTGAAAAGATAAAAAAATCAGAACACAAAGATTGTACTAAGATACACGAGACGCCTAAAAAGAAAATTTTAATTAAAGATAAAACTGCGAGTGCTGCCAAACGTCCTAAAGCTACGGCTCCTTCTACATCAGTCACTGCAGAGATAAAACCAGTAACAGAATCGAGCGATGAGGACGAAATCCGGTATATGCTCAACCCAAACTTTAAAGTCGAAGATGTCACCGAAGAAAAAGTCTTCATGAAAGTCAGAGCCAAGAAGCGTAGTTCTCTTCAAATAGAACGACCAGACTCTAAAGACCTAATGAAAAGGCGAACGTCATTACAACATCCACCCAAAATACCGCGACTCAAATCAAAATCAATGGAGGCAAACATAACAGTAAAAAAAGAAGTAAAAACTCCCAAAGTAGAACCAGTGCCTTCAACGGATTCTGACGATAGTGAAACTACAAAATACTCCTTTCCATCGACCATTCCTGAAAAATCGACTAAGCCTGCACAAAATCGGACGCCTAAAAATTCACGAAAGAAATCAATCGTTGATAAGAGAAAGACATTAAGTGGGATAGCTAAAAGGAAATCTTTGGGTAAAGCAGTCACAGCCAGGCACAAACTAACACCTGTGAAGCAAGTTAAGAAAAGTAAGTAATTTTTATATATTTTTATTACACGCTTTATATTAGCTTCACTTGTATGTTTGTTTGTAACCGACTCCTTTGGGCGTGATTTTGACTGACTTTAAACGGTCAGAATTCCTTCAAACTTTGTAGATATATTGAGGACCGATTACAAAAAAAAATGAAAATAAATTTGAAAAAAGCGTTGGGTGCCTGTTGTCAATAGTAAAAAGCCCTTTTTATTCAAATTTATTTTATTGCACAGCAGCTTTTTTTCAAATTTATTTTCTACTTTTTTTATTATTTTTTTAAATTAGTGTATTGTCATCGGTCCTACAAAGTTTGAACGAATTCTGACAGTTTAAAGTCAGTCAAAATCACGCCCAAAGGAGTCGGTTACAAACATACAAACAAACATACAAGTGAAGCTAATATAAAGCGTGTAAAAAGGTCAACATCGAAATGAGAGATGGTTAGGTAAAGTAGTTATTTAAAAAAATTACAGCATGAAATTGTCTTTAACTTTTTATTACACCAACGCTTTTGAGGTAGAGTGTGTATTAGAAATGCAAAGAAAAAAGTCTTGGTAAATAATATGCCGCCTAAAGTCGATAAATCATTAAAAATTATAAATTAAATATGTAATAAATTCATAATTATAAATAATTTGCATTTTTTATTAATCAAAACATATTATTTAACAATATTCAGTCATGTATGACACAGTTCAGTTAATCTCATACTTAATAAAAAAACATTTACATGGAACCACGTAAAAGGTCAGTTACTACTTTGCGGTTTACATATTTATATAAAACAAAAAAATGATTGTATTGATACTTTATTGCATTAAATTATACTATATAAAATTTAGTGAGAGTCTTGGCTTACTCCAATCTTCTTTCCTTCCAGGAACGTTGGATGCGGAGCACCGTTGCGACTGCGGGCAGTTGTTCAGTAGCGCAGCCCTGCTGTCGCGCCACACCACGCTCGCGCACACACCCCCAAGAATAAGGCGCCGGCGATCGCCGCCGCCGGATGACAAACCTATACCCAAGGAGAAACCTGCAGCCAAACTAGCACCGCGCAAGTCTACCGCGCCAGAGAACCCCAAGTCAAACAAGTCACCGCAAGTCGCTGCGACTAGAAAATCCAACGTTAGAAGCGTCAGTACCGCGTCAAATGTAAAGTTAACGAAAAGCGAGATCAAAACTGGAAAGAAAACCTTGGAAAGAAATACAAAGACGCCGAGCGATGCTAAAAAAGCTAAATCTGAGAAGCATGAAGAAGAATCGAGCGTCAAATCTAGAAGGACGGCCGCCCACCGAGGCGTCCCCGTTCCAGAAAAGATGAAAAAACTCCTGGGAAAGACCAAGTAATTATTTACACGTCTGAGTTTTATTTATATGTTCGTGTGACCTGGAAGGACCGAGTGATCTCCCCGTATGTTGGGATAAGTGTGAATGGCTCGCTAGTTAGATAAAATCACGCATCACGACGCTCACAATAACGTAACAAACGGACCATTGTTAAATAAAAATATTTTTACACGTTTGATGGTACGATAATGCATCACCGACACGATATTTTACCGTGACTCAGGTAATTAGGCGTTGATCTTGTCTATATGTAAATGAGATAACAAATAATAAGCATATTTTGTCAATTTGTTCTAGAGTTTAGATATCGCGTAAGAGTAAATATTTATGTTTATTAGGAATAGAGATAGATTCATTGGCATTATGTTCCGTTAGCATATTATAATTCAGTTAAACTGTATATGTATGTCATTTAACTCTGTCTGTTTGGGAGCCTAAATATTGTTGCGAGATGGTGCAAACTTATATTGAAATATATGAGAGTAACAAAATATTCTCACCCTGGTTTGCAAATTATAATTGTTGGAATTTAATGAGCTTATAAATAAAATTGTTTTTACATTAATTTAATAGAATTGTAATATAAAAATGCATGATAATAACGAGCTTCCCGGAGTTTGGGTTAATTAGTGCTTTGTGTAGTATGTTTTCATCATTACTGTAAGAGTTTAGAGAACTTCGAAAATATCGAATTTCTCTAATAATATTGTTATAGAAGAGTAAAAACAGACCACAATTTGGTTATATATATATATATATATTAATATACTTTGGTGAGAACTACCAAAGTGTCTATTGTATAAATAAAATTAAAATATGCTATATATAGTTCATACCACTTTACCATATCGCATTGTTAAGATATATGCAGTTGTTTTACCATAGTGATTGCATACTTACCATGATGTTGTAGCTTCGGAAATGCTCATCTGTTAACGTTGATTCTCTAGTGAAATATTTACTTGTTCCCTACCTTTCAGTATAATATAATTCTGGGTTTAGATTTTCATATTCACGTTTCCATATCTCAAAGTCCCAACTGTAACTCACTGTAATTAATATAAGATCAATGACTACTTTAGTGTGCTGGATAGTTCTTTAATTTTACTGTGTCTTAAAAAATGGCGGTCAAGACGCTCGACCGTAAAACAATCTAGTCTCTTTAAAATTCATTAACCATATTAGAACTTTAGAATTAAAATAATAAGATAGGCAACAAAATCGCTGATAAAACTTATCATCAACCTCTCCTTAGAAAGGAGGTTTTGGCCTACTATACCAGGCTGGCCAGACAGGTTGGTATATGGTTTGTTTCAAGTTTTCCTTCTCTTTGCAGTGCTGTTGCCCTGCTTAGTTTGCATAACATATACATTTCCTTAATTCTTAACTACTGCAATGGTGACATAATGCTTTCATTCCTTAGCTATTCAAGCTATAGTCATGGAATTACACATACACAATGTGTATATATAGACTGAAAACAGTACTGTTTGCGATTGATAAAAGCATGAATTCATGAAGTCACCAACAAAAGCTAATGTAATATAAAACAAAGTCAACAAGCTTTTTACTGTAATGCGAGTTGCCGAGGTATTCATACATCAGCCAACTCATCAAGCAAAAGGATGGCTAAAAAACTCGTGAACTGTGGCAATTACACAAATCAGCAAGTAGAACTCATCATTGGAAGTGACACATTATGCTCTAAATTGGTTACCACACTGTAACAGTTAAACATAAAATATTTTGTAGTAGAAAAGTGACAGTAAACATATTTTTTGTATAATGATAGTGAAAAGATGCAAACAAATCTTGAAATTTACTTCAATTTGTATCATAGAATAATAGACGACCTATATCGAGAGATATACCTACTTAAAATTGTACTATATTTCTAATAAACTAACAACTACAAAATTTAATGTCAAACTTGAAAGTTCGGTTTCAAATACGAAAATTGTTCTATCTGCAGAAATAAATAAATAAGATTACCACTCAATAATTATATTGTGGTGTTCAATAATAGTTACTGCTACTGTACAAAAACTTCATTTAAAATTGCTTACATGGCTTTTCTACTGTATGTCCAAAGAAGGCACGCGGGCGTTGCCGACCTTTTAAAATAGTTTTAATGCGTTTTTAAAATAACTTTATACTGTAGTCATTTTGAATAAAGCACGCTATGAAGGTCACTCCTCACAGTTTTGATTAAAGATCAATAGAAAGGACTGCTAAATGGATAAAAAAAATGTGGTTAATGCACAAGTAGCATTTTAATTTAAGGTGTTTGTTCTCTCTGATTTGCATTTGGGACCTTGTCATATGAAGAGCATAAATAAACAGACATATTATTTGCAGAATTTTGAATAATATAATAATAGTGTGATAGTCTATGGGTATTCATACAATGGTACTCCCCAAACTTTAGTGAACTAGGACCAATTTCTCTGTTTCTCTGGTGATAATATATTATGTTGTTTTTAATTTTAAATAATGTTTATTCTACTCTCGTGACTAACAGTGTAAAATGTAATTAATTGCTAAAATATAAAGAGTAGGCCGTATTGTGAGATTTATGTTTTAGAAGCATTTAAAGTAAAATTTTATATATGTAGATGATATCATTATTTTTAATATGATGATGCAATTTTGATTAATGGGTTATAAATAAATTGTCTAAAATATAAATGTGTTTATTTTTTGTCATATTTATAAATTAAAGATAATTACACAACTATAATACATGTACATTTTAAATTAGATTAGAGATAAACATAGATCTAAATTTTAACCTCTTTCGCAAATTATATCTACAATACTGGGCTCCATCAGTTGTGGATCAACACACCTTAGCTGTGCGGATGCCAAGGCGTCTTCCAGAAGAGCATTCAGTAACCTTTCATCATTGCCCATACAAGACAATCTTTGCTGTAGAAAATGTACATCTACTTGTAACTGCTGCAAGCCATGTTTGCCGAATGTACGCAATCTTACGCATTCTACCAGCGCCTTCAGTGCCACTTTTAACGCTCCATTAGACAAAGCAGCCCGATCGGCCCCTGCAGGACTGAATACTTCGATCCTTTCAGAAAATATTCTATTCAAGGGTGAGAAAGACGATGGGGCACGTGACCAAATAGTACGGCGACTAGAATCACTTGAAGGCTTCATACTTGTTGGAAACAACTGTGATGCAGCACTGTCTGCACCTGCTAGAGTTTCAACAACTCTGCGACAAACAGCTCTAGGTCCACGTGGTTCTGGAGCTCTTAACCAATCTCTAGCTAAAACTGACACTCTCAACATCTGTGCTGCAGTCTGCCCAATAAATACTACTTCTGAATCTAAAGCCGCTTGGGCCGCAGTAGATAGATGTACCATAATACTGTTAGTATCTCTTTTTTCTACTGTCAGTCCAGGAGCAGACTCTTCAAGGAGTTTAAGTAAATGAGTGTGGAGAGTGGTAACACCACTCTCCTGCATTTCTAAACACAATTTTGCCAATATCAAGAGCAGTTGGAATGGAATGTTGTTTGATGTCTGCAAGTAAGCCATCTTTTTTACCATCTCTGACAGATTGACCATAGTCTCAGTAATAACTTTCCAACATGTATCAGCTACAGCTTTTGCACACCATGGTTTAAGTCCAAATGAGAGATTGTTCTGTAGGAATGCCATAAGATCTAATAATGAAGCCTGGACTTTCTGCATTAAGTAAACCTGTAAGGAGTTCAGTATGTCTTTCAAATCTGTTGTCTCTGATCCTTTACTAGCTAAAGACTGTCTCACTTTAGTAAGACTGTCCTTAAACTGAGATTGAATGGACAGATACTGTATAGTTGCCTTGTGATTGATGCATTGGATAACCACATCCACTGCCTTGTTACTCATAGTGTCACTTGAAATAATCTCTGTCATTGCTTGTAGCTTCCTAAAGAATTTATCCAGCCCTCTAACTAAAATGTCCGTCCCTATATTATCAGGCCTTTTGACAACCTCTTCAAATAAGTGAAATACTTGTAACATAATTTTGTCAGCAAAATCTGGTATGTTTGTATTATCTTTGTCTCGAAACATTTCGTGATAACATGATATTACTATACCTAAGTCTGCAAGTAATGTGCTGTTACATTTTTCAACCCATTCTAAAATATCTATGCTCTCTACCATGGCGCTTAAACTTTGTAAATGCTGATCAAGTCTGCTTTCAGCACAACTCAAGAATATATCTTGAAGAGAGGAATCAGTTTCTTGTAGCTGTCGTAACAAACTAACACATTGTGCCAGCTCTGACGCTGAGGTGTCTGGGCTAAGTAGTCTTTCCCTTAATGTCTTTTTCAGCCCATATATGATTTCTGAGCACTCCGTCTGAATGCTTTGAAAGGAAGGTTGATTTCCATACTTTTGTAGCACTCTCTGAGCATGGGAGTAGTCGTGGACTGCGTCAGCATATCTTCCGTCTACAATGGCTTTATTCAATTGTGTTGGCAGCAAAAACAAAAATTGTAATTTGTCTAAAAGCTGCCTTGTTCCACATAACCTGCTTACATTGTTACCACTATCTCTCAATGAATCTGATATTTCAGTACTAAATGAAGTTATTTTATTCATGTTTTCACTTAACTTGTTCATTTCCTCCTGCATTATTTTGAAATCTGTGCGCATTTTACGCACTGTCTCCGTCGCTGATATGAACTTGTTGTAGTTTTCGTATACCAATGTTTGCATCTCTGATTGAAGAAATTGGCTCTGGGTGACTACTTCAGCTTCTTTATCCATAACTTGTTTTAACGTAGCGCATTTTAATAAACAATCCATATACATATCGGGGTTGAAATTACTACCGTCGATGTCTAGTGGATTTTCCTCTTTGTCCTTTGATTGAGCCATTATAAGTACCACCAAGTACTCAATGTGTTTTCTAACAATTAACAAAAAAATCAAAACAAAACACTGACGAAATGAGATCGAAGAATTTTATGAATATGAAAATACTGATTTTCTAATCCAGTTTGTTGACAACAGTAACTTGACTTTTGACAATGTTTTTTTTTTGTATTTTTATGGCCTGGTAACCAGACCTTTAAGCCAAGTCTTAATTTTTGAACAATGAATGATTTCAGTGAGTGTGACCATTTTAAACTGCAGATGCAGATCCAGCTGGGTCCTGAATTTCTGATAATTTAATTTTTAAGAATTTCATATTTTATTTTAAAGATTTCTGTTAAAAAATAATTATATGTAATTCGACTTTATTATTCTTATTGAAGTGTAACATCTTTCCACTCGCTTTCCTGCAATCTGTAAGAGTGATTTTTTGATAAGAGTCAGAAGTGTGTACCAACAGGAAGTCAGCGAAGGGTACGCTATTTGATTAAGGGAACATCCGGGTTCCCAGACAGGAGGGGTCATCTATAAGCCGTAGATGGCCCGAGGTACGTCGGGTACTAGGGCTTTCCTTTCTAGGGTATACCTGGTACCCCGGCTACTGGTACCTGGAGACGGCGTGCGGAACATAATCACCCACTGTGTGGGTGGTATCCGAGGGGCGGATACCACCCACACAGTGGGTGATTATGTTCCGCACAGAAAAAAAAGGGTACGCTATTTGAATGGACTATTGAGTGTTGCTAGAGTTGGTCGTTGCATGATAGGTGAGATGTCAGATATTACGTGTCACTGGCACTAGCATGGCCACCATCAGATTTTAATTTTAATGACATAAAAAAAATTGTCGAGAATATCCCTTATTTTATCTAATTTGTATCTCAAAAACTAGGGCACCTAGCCAAAATCTGTAATCTCCTAAATTTTGTCTCTAATTAGTCGCAATTTTTCGCCAAGTCACAGATGCAGTCGTCTAGGGTCTAATTTCGAAGATATAATTATAATGACTTAGTAGTAGTTGAGGTAAATATAGTCTGAGAGCTAGATCGAGGAGTTTATGATAAATACTTGTATTATTAAATATTTAAAACACTAGATTAGAGTACATAGCTTTTTGAAAACATTAAACCTTGCTCTTGGTCTGGTGTTAAGATGCACAGTCGCTTTCAGTAAGTTCCACTGTTAACTGACTATCTTACGTCACGGGAAAGGCTCTCAGTATCTCATCTGTACACTCTAATCTATTTCTTTTAACCCAGTGGCACTATCATGATACCCAAATTATTTTAGGTTCCAAGGAAAGTTTATAAATTCACGTGATGGCCAGAATCATTTACCGTACGTGAGTTAATCTAATGAAGTTACAAAAAGCTATTAAAGAGGCAGTTGAAAAATACAATATTCCAAAGAGGACATTAAGCAGAAAATGCCGAAATATAAACTGCTCACAAGAACAGTCCGGCCCTACAACTTTTTTCAAAAGACGAAGAGAATGCGTTCTTAGAGTACATGAAAATATTGAGTGCTTGGGAATTCCCTCGTAATTCCACCGACCTTGAGAGTATTTGCCCAAAAGTACCTAAACTTTTTTTGTTTCAATAATAATCTCTGATTGCAAGATTAAATTATTTAACAAGTAAGATCTTAGATCTAGAACTTTTAAATATTATTTTGTAATGTTTAATTTTGATCTACCTATTTATAAAATGAGTAGAAACCAGTAGAAACAAACAAAACGAAAAATTTAATTAAAACGTTATTCCGAACTATCTACCTATTCTGTAAAATCTTACTAATTTTTATCGCGTAAGCCAGACTAAAAAATTTGCTTACAGATTTGATGCAACTAATCGAACTTTTGATTTATTGCGAATTAACTAATAGAGAAAAAAACGATGTAGAAGAAAAATATATTTTATTTTTATACCAAATTCCATAAATCCTATAAACATAGGCAATATATATAATCACCATACTATTTATATTTTAATAATAATATCTTTGTTCTTAGGCATAAATCTAAAGAGGAAAAATATCCGATTTGCATATACAATGATTTGATTTTACGAAATTCACCAACATAACAGCCAATATTTTATTTACATAAACATACATAGCATGTAATAAAAGCGTCATAGATCACGGAATATTGAAAACAATAGGTACGCAAATGGCTTTACATTATGTGCAAGTTGATCGGTGTTGCCACATTCGAAAATGAAATAGTATATTCCAAATCATAAAGGAGTGAATAACTGCATTGGTCAAGTTCAAAGGGTAGGCAAAGGCAACAGAAGTACCCGGAAGACTACATTTCACTTCCTGTGGTCTTCATTGTTCCATGATCACATTTAAATTTAAAACTATGTAGTATATGACGTATAGATTGGAGCAAACGTTTGGTAAATTTTACACACAGAATATTATTCAAATCTGACAATATAAAATATCTAACGACCAATAACGCCTCTTTTTCTATTCTTTGTGCGTTTATAAATTGAAAACACTGTACCTTCAGTATTTGTCTTACAATTATTAAACGTTCAGCTTTTTTATTTCAAACAACACTTATTACGGAGTTGATTTAAATTCTCTTTGTATTACGAGGATCAAAAATAAGAAGATGTAGTATCAAGAGTATTTTTTACTTCTTAATTTTAAGTGAAAATAAAAAGAAGAATTTGATGAGTTATAAATTTAAAAGTAATATGTTTTGTTGCTTACTGACTATAGCTTGCTTCAAACAACTAAATGCGGTAACAATGTAATTCTATTTTGTTTATACATATGTTTTTTATCCTAACCTATTTTTTAGTTATGTATATAATAATTTTCCTATAATATAGTAGCAGACATAAATTATGTACACTAAGGTCATTTTATTACAATATTGCCAAAAGTACTTTCTTTATTGCACCATAATTTCCAGGTTCCTCCACAGATTTAGTACAAATCAGTTGAGGTGCCAAACAGATTCCTTGGAATCCTATTACACCAATCCAGGCATTCGAGGCAAAACTTTTAGAAAAAAAAAACAAACAATATGGCGACTGTATGGCGCGTAATTCATAATAATTACAGCTTGACACTTGTTTTTTATTCTTTTAATTAGTAACTTGTTTCAATTTTATGATTTTTTAAAATCATTCCATCGGCAGAAAATAAAATGACATTAAATCTTCATTTTTCTGGGCATTAAATGCTAACTTTAATATTTAAAAAGCTAAATAAATTTAATTTATTAAAGTTAGAAGTGGGGCGTATACTGTCAGACGAGCTGCAAGTTTGGTTATTATTTGAATGGCATAAAAATGTAGCGTAAACTTATTTCCTCTCGTAACCATTGTTCGTGTCATATAAAAAGACTTATGAGGAGCTTACAAGCATGTTATTATTAATAAATAAATAAATCAACGTTATGGGTTACCTACTTTGGACCAGATATTACTACCTACTATTATTAGAAAAAAAAGTCAAGACCGTATCAGAAATAAATATTCTGTTTTATTTTTATTTATTAAAGATATATTTAAATATCAAACCCGATGCCCTTTTACAAGGGCGCGCTCTGACGCTCGACGCGGGGCGGGTGATGCGCTCGGCTATACATGACACGATGTACTAACTCGATATCTTCAGATTTATTTGTTTGAGATTTAATCTACACACGATGTAATAAAAATCGAATTTATTTCCATGTATTATAATGTCAGTGTATTATAAGTTTTTATGATTAATTGTAAAATTTAATACTGTAAAATAATTTTGATAAAACCACCTTATGTTCATCATGTATATATATTCAGATACAATTTAAAATTAAGTAAAATAATAAATATTCTTTATTAGAACTTTAACAGTAGAACCTCTGCAAGACGAACTTCAAGTTTTTAAATCTTTTTGTGACGCAGAGTCGGCAGATTATCCATGTTGCAAAATAATACCGTGTGTAGCAGTCTTAAGAAAAATAACACGTACAGCCATGCTTTCACGTCAGTCACTGCCGGCGGACAGCGACGCACTAGCTAATTGGTTGAATGCACCCCCGCCCCGCGTCCCCCAAACCATCAGGAGGGCCAAGCTTACGGCGGTTTAACTATAACGGTTGTTTTATTTTATAATATTGTAATAACACGGCTATGATGTTCTTGGTAAATAAAAAATAGGATTTCATTATTAAGAATTAGTTTAAATAAAAAATGAAATTAACTATAGCTATTTAGAATTTGATTTTATTATATTTTTGTGTTTATGGTAACTTATCATAATTGAAAAAAAATGTATATATTCTTAGTCAATACTCGTGGATGAAATCATAGTAATGTTTAAGCTATAAATTTACCATTTACATAGTCAAATAAGGATTTTGTTCTATTTGCATAGTTATTAAAGAGACTTATAATAAGTGAAAAAAATCTACAATTCTCAAAAATCTTATTTTTCTGAAAACTGAAATAAATATATTTTTTAATCAAGAACATAATTATAGTTTACTTCGATAGGGCAGTATCAGTAAATAAATTAGCAATTCTGATGTACTGTACCTTATTAATTAAATGTAAACAAGGAAACTTACTATTAAATTATATTTATAGGTATTTATTGGTTGTGGGCTTCGGATTCCGCATTTAGACTCAAGAGTGGTCCTTTATGCGTCTAGGATTGGTTGATTGGTTGGTTGGTTTATAGGTATTTATTAATCGTTTTAGTTATATTTTGTTCAGAGTAAAAGGACTAAATACTGGGAATATTGAATACTGAGTTTTTTTTGTAGTAAAGGAACCGCTTGCCCGTCCCTATTAAGAATGTAGGGTCTGCAAATCAACAATTTTACAGGAGTGCGTCAAAGTTTAAAATTGCTTAATTTATATATATATATATATTTACATTTTTAACATGGCTATTTCAAAAACTATGAGGAAAAATTGACTTTTTGTTAAAGTTGCTGAAAAACATTCTTTTTTTCAGGTAAATAGTAAAATAAAAACAAAATCAAAAAAATTGCAAATCCGACCTTAATAAAGTCAGGCGCGCTGTTCAAGCTGTCATTAGACTATCTTACGGGAATGGGTATCTTCCGACTGCGATACGAGGGCAGGTTTTAGTAATTGATCAAATTTCAGTGACCAGTATATCTTAAACTATAGATTTATAGATTTTCTTTACCCTGACAGGTCTGACAAGGTACGTGTACCTTGATGTAGCCGTTGATACATTATTTTTAAACTTTTAAACTTTTGTAGCTTCTACACTTCATCAATATAAAAATTATAAGTACCTGTTATAAATTTTCCAATTCTTCGTTCGGTATTGCCGCGTAATACTAAAATTTGTGAAAAATAATACATGCATAATTTCACAATACCCATAACAATACATAATTTTGTTTAAGTGATAAAGTCTATGTAAAAGTAACTTTAATTTTATAACAATGGCGTGTTTACAAGATACACTGTTCACCGATAAGTATTACACGTTAGTGAACACATTCGTGCCATCAAAGCATACCTATATTTTTTATGATTATCGACAAAAATGGCAGAAATGTAACCTACATTTAATGAAAAAAAAAGGAATTCAGACCATATTTAAACATTTTTTTCTTAATAGAGGGGTTAGAGAAAGATCTGTGTTGCCGCCTTTTGATGTAAGAGTACGTTATTTTCTTTTTTCTTTCAACTCTATGAAAATAAACGTAATCCTCACGTCAGAAGAGAGGTCCAAAATAAAAAGGAGTACACACATATTACCACATATTTAATGAATGCTCCCTTTGCTATATACCTACAACGCAATTTCCGGCCAAATTCATGTCATAAGACGACAAAGCTTATAATAAAAATAAATAAATTAAATACAAAATAGAAGTAAACAATAATTGGTTTTTTATTATTATGGTATAGGCGAGCCGACTGGTCACCTGTGCCTGAATTCTGCTATTTTATGCTACTGCTATATATATGTTAACGCCAAGCCACTGTCATTCCATTGACAAACTATTGAGATGACATTGGCATCGGTCAAATATCAGTATTCTACAAACATAAATTCACAGTGTCAATAGACTGTCGATATAGTAATATAGGTCATCAATTGTGATATCAACAACATTGCCATACCTGAAAAATTTACATTTTCTTACAAATTTAAATGTATAGTTTAACAAACTAGTAATACAAAGACATCGACGACATTTGTATCAGTGGCAGTTCAGTGACAAAATATCGGGAGGCCATTGGTCTTACATAGTTAGTAGAATACGAAAAGTGCAAAACTATTCCGACGACATTCCATTGACAGTCTGTTGATGCAATATTAGAATAGCAGGATTGAGACCCAGATTGCAACCCTGCAACTCAGTAGTTACACGTGCGTTACCGCCGTCTAAGAGAATACGTTTGTCCTTGTCTAATGCATGCCAAACGTGATTTTAGACAGCCATGAGAGCCATATATAGTTAGATATTTATGATTTCTACCGATTGAATCGTATTTTGATGCTATCGCTTCCGCCTCATACATCGCATCGCACTCAGCCTTAAAGTGTTTAATTCTAACGCCGTATGACATTGCGCCTTTATTCAATAAGGCGTATTTGAAGTCTGCCACTCCAGAAAAAGCAGTCAATGGATTTGCAGCAGCTGGAATTTGGCCATGAATACCGATAAATTTTCTGATTTCTGCAAGTCTGCATAAATATGGTTCACAAGGATCAGTGCGTGTCTGAAATAACCAGTGCAGAAGTTCTAGAGCCATTACCCTCAACTAGTGGCACCACTAAGCAAGCAACGCAGGAATTAACGGAAGCAGATCATCCTGAAGAAGAAGAGTGAGTTTCTTTTCGTGAGTGCTCAGTTCTGATACAAAAAGACAATGTCCAAAATAGCGCTGATACAAATAGACATTCGAAAAAAGGGAAAGGCAAAGGGAAAAAGTAGCATTCAGAAATTCTTACTTCAACTCCAATAAAAGAAGCCCTGGAAATGAAAAAGACTATAAAAGCTATCAAGATGGAAAAGGGAAAAGAAAGAAAAATTTAAAGAGTTGCAAAAGAACAAGACTTCAAGAAAAGAGAAAAGAAACGTTGGAGCCAGGGCGTCGCACAAGAGAAACATTATAAACAGCTCGAGCTCTACAGATGAGTCTGTAGTGCTAGACGAAGTGGTAACAACAGAAAGTGGACAATATTTTTAGACCGATGGAGAAACTGGTGTAACAAACGAACCTTGTCTAATTTGTGGTGAATTTGGAAAAGATCGAGAGCTCTGGTATCGCTGTAATGTGTCGGCAGTGGGTCCATGCATTGTGCAGCGGTAATTTTTTTTGTTAGAGGGGGCAGACGAGCAGACTGGTCACCTGATGGAAAGTGACTATCGCCGCCCATGAACGTCTGCAACTCAGGAGTCACAAACGCGTTGCCGGCCTTTTAGGTAGGAGTACGCTCTTTTCTTGATAGTTTGAAGGTCGTATCGGTCCGGAAATACCGCAGACGATAACCCGTTCCACAGTGTGCCGAATGGTAACATTTGTAGATTATGTTACAAGAACTAGTTCAAAACTGTTATTAAGACATTGTACGTAAAATGTACACAATCATCCGAAGATGTCGGATGATGGCGTACTTTAACACTTTTATAAAGCTTAAATACTACACTTTCATTTTATTTTTTATAGCATTTATTAGTTATGTATTTCCTCTAAATCAGTGCTTGGGAGTTACTAAAATAACGCTCTTTTATACTGATTAATAGGAGTTCAACCTTAAGTGTACGGTAACCCCCGCTTTTCTGACATCCATGACTAGCCAATATATAAAATTGTACATTACATATTATATTAATAACACACATATACATTCGCGCGTCATTCTTTATTTATTACTCCATAGATTTAATAGAGTATCCATAGAGTACTTTTATTTAAATTTGACACTCACGTAAGCGTTCTAAATTTTATTCAACGGTTGGGTCTCACACAACAGCAGGTCTCGATATAAATATTAGTATTATTTTTTATTTATTGATAAATTACATGATTGATAAATAAAATATATACCAGCCAGTTAATGTCCCTGCCCTAAAAATGGCCTTTAAAACATATGTACGGTTACGCAATACCTGCCTCCTCGAGCTCCCACGGTCTTAGTCTCTTTCCCATCCGAGACTTGTACAAGGGTACTAGAGAGCCCAAAGAAAGAGGCCAATGTAACCCCCCCCCCCCCATTTTTCATTTTCCCATCGTACCTTTTGAAAATGATTCCCCATGAGGGTAGACATCGGGTATGATACCAGTAAGACTTAAAACGCATACCTTAAATAAAATTGGTGAAAGGTTCAAGAATAATTATCATGATCTTTCTTTTTAATATTAATTTATACTTGTTTATCACACTATTACCTACCCTACTTTGTTTCATATTTGCACTAACATCTCTGTACTGTATTTGTATCTATGTTTTATATATTTGTTTTAGGCAGCCCTGACCTCTACACATGTTTCGCTCACTCTAATCGTGATATCAATATGCAAGAGAAAGACAACCTTAATCAAATCGTTCGGACATTCGAGTGACAAGCCTAACATAAAACTAATGGTAATAACTATACAACATGAGCTTAGTTCTTAGTCATTCTGTCCGTAACCTAAGAGGGTCTAAATAAGGCAAGTCACTACCAACACTTTCACCTTGGTGGAACAGCTTCAAGGGCACTTCCTTCACTTTCTTCACCACTGGTTTCATCACTTGTGATGTGCTACGTTTGTTCATCACGGCGACGGGGACGAGTAGCCGCTTCCCCAACTTTTCGTTTGTTTGACCTTCGGCGGCTTCTAGCGCAGTTTCGACGTCTATCAGCGCGTGGTTGCGGCACTGAACCAGGGCTGCCAACTGTATGAAAATAAACGTTATTTAATATAATTTTGTAGGAACTTAAAAAATAGTGGTTTTATTGTTATTTATTTAAAGATGTTCTTTTTTCAAATTGTTTTTTTTTATGCATACAGAATAAACTCACAAAGACACTAATGTGTGTTTTTCAATATTTATAAATGGAATTTACTTATACATGCATATATACAAGTTTTTATTTCTGAAGGGGGTAGAAGAAGGCGTTTTAAAAATGTTTACATTTTTTCACTGTCATTTTAGGCCTAATTACTGAAACTTTTTTTTTTCGATATACATATACTGACGGTAAAAAAGAACCAAAAATACACGATTCAGAATTTACACTGTCTTTGCTATTATGGATTATGGGATTTAAAGTAAACAAGTAACGAAATTATTAATGTATGTAGTTACATTTCTAATAAGTACAGTCAACACCAAAAATATGCGTTTGAGTCGTCGTAGAAATATTCAGACTATCGTAGACCATATTTATGCATGTCAGCTACCCTATGTGGGTAGGAGAAGTCACTCAGTTAGAGGTCATAAGGTTTGATTACCGCTCAGGATCAATAAGCGAGCGATGAGTACGATTTGTTGTTCCGTTTCTGGGTGTAACTTACAGAATAACATGTATGTATTTAGAAAGTATAAGTATGTTTATCGGCTAGCTGTATTTGGTTATTACAATATAGGTTTAGCTCAATTTCTAATAGACAGCAGTGTGGGACATGGCCCCTTTTTTATTGTTTTTTCTGCAATCTGCGCCAGTGATTTCGTGAAGGACGGAAGGCGTAACAGGAAGCCGGGGAAACGCACTTTATTCGATATTAGTAATTGTCTATTCTCAAGACACTGGAGCTTTGACGCTCAATAAAACGATGAAAGTAGCGAAGATAGTTGATTTTAATGTAAATATTTGTTTTATTACAGTAATGTTCACAATTCGTGTCCGTTCGTAATTAATTTTGAATAACAAGTCTACATGGTAGGTAGTAATATTTCTTTCCTTAAAAAATCATATATTTCCAACTACCGTCATAACTGTTTTCGTTGTGAATGACTGTCAGGCGTTAACAGTAATGAACGCGTCCAAGAAGGTGCGAGCCTGGTGATCTGTAACACAGGTTTTACCTATCACTGACACCAGTCTCACACAAAGGAATGATATGGTCTGACCGATCTGTATTTATAAGTTGCACACCTGACGGGTCTGTCGGTCTAGTGATTAGTGACCCTGAGTGACTGACTGATTAAACCGGAGGTCATGGGTTCGATGCCCACCCAGGACAAATATTGTGTGATGAGCACGGTCATTTGTTGTGTTTGGGTGTAATTTATCTATAATATGTATGTATTTAAAAATATATAAGTATGTTTATCAGCAGTCTGGTTACCGTAGTACAGGCTCTGCCTAGTTTGGGATCAGACAGTCGTGTGTGAGATGTGTGACATATATTATTATATTATATGTTACCTACCTCGGTGAAAAGAGAAATAAATGTGTAATTATTATAACGAGAGAGAGAGAGAGAGAGAGAGAGAGAGAGTAGCGTGTCACCTGCAGTATCTGCTGCAGCGGCTGCTGCACGTGTGGCGGGGGGCGCGGCAGGGCGGCGGCGAGCGCGGCGGCGGCGCGGGGCAGCTGCGCGCGCAGGAGGCCGAGCGCCGCCAGCTCGCGCGCCACGTCCGCGCCCTCGGCCACGCCCTCCGACCCCGAGTCCAGCTCCGCGCCGCTCTCCTCCAGGTGCCAGCGCTGCACCTGGTTCTCCACCGAGTGGCTAGGGCACGTGTGCTATATATTAACGTACTGTTGCGTACAAATTTGACATATATTTGACTGTACGGATGGCACCGCTTCCTACTACACTGGGTCCGATCCCCACATGGGATGACGCTTTGTGTGATCGAAAAATAGTTGTTCTGTGTCTGGGTATTCTTCGTGTTACAGGATATATTCCTAATGCGGGAGTTACCTTGACTACAGATGCACTTATTGTTAGCTCAGAACTTTAATGCGCTTTAATCTATATTGCCATAGTCGACACTAGCTCGAAATCGTCATGTACAACACAAATAACGAACGTCGCACGGCAAATCGACTGTATAAAAAATTTAGTCGTCGAGAAACATCTGGACATTGTGTAAACATCGAAATTATTTTTAAAAATAAACGAGTATAAAAGGATAGATTAAAAAGGCAATAATAAATACAGGACAATTAAAAATACAATAATATTTTTATGCAAAATGCGTTCAAATCAACAGCAGCTTGACCCTCTCGCATTAAATGTTTCACATCAAAAATCTACTCAACTATTGTAATGATTTCTGATTAAGTTAAAAGTTATACATCAACACACAATATCTTCACCGTAATAATATGTGACTGTCTTTAGACAGTTTTTTAAAACATTATTGAAATAATATAAGAAAAAATTATAATAAGTAGTGATGACACAGTGCACGAGCCTATGTGGCGTGGGTGGGTATGAATGATCTAAGGGCTCTTGCAAGAGCACATATTTAGGTATACTGACAATATTGACTGTACAAATGGATCCCCAGGAGCCTTAATTAAAACCACTGACTCTTTACAACTAGTTTTATTAATCACTAGGTAACACTGTACACAATAGGTAAAAGGATGTTCGTTCAATACAAAGAAATCAAATCAATTTATATTGATTGCGGTAACGAAACCATAACGCGATTTAGCCAAACGGCACAGCGACATCTATCGAAGAGCAATGTAACATATTTCAATTTATACATTCCGCCCACCAAGGACATATTTATAAAACTATGTCCTTAATAATGTAAAATAACTGATTCCGCCCACCATGAGGTAAAGGGGATTGGTAAGCAAAACTAATGAAATCCGCCCACCATGAGGTCAAGGGGGATATGTGGTAAGACTTACGACTACAAGCTATACTACTGAAACTTACAACAAGATTATCAATCTGCTATTGGCAAAACACACAATTTATTTGTTGGCCGTTTAAAAACAGAATCATTGCATTTCAAAGTTACGACTCTAGTGATTCCGTCCGAACCCGGGTGTTTTAATAAAACCCTACCGAGTAACCACCTACCAGGAGGCAGATTGTCTTCCTTGATCAGAACCACATCACCTATCTTTGGTTCAGGTCCCTTTTGGGACCACTTATAACGGTGCAACATTTGGGTCAGATATTCCTGAGACCAACGTCGCCAGAAGTCTTGTGTCATTTTTTGAAGCAACTGCCATCTTTTCAGTGTGCCTACATTAGAGTGTTCATAATTACGATCCGGTGCAAGAATCAACGGCTCTCCTATCAAAAAGTGACCAGGTGTAAGGGGCATTTGGTCTTCTGAATTTTGCGAAATTTGAGAAATTGGTCTAGAATTGAGACACGCCTCAATTTGGACCAGAAGAGTAGACAGCTCCTCGTAGGTGAGAGTGGAGTCGCCAATGACTCTCTTCATGTGATATTTAGTTGATTTAATGCATGCCTCCCAAAGACCACCAAAATTTGGAGCGTGCGGTGGTATAAAATGCCACTTAACACTGTTGGAGCTGAGCCAATCCCTAATTTCATCAGCGACCAATGACTGTTCCGCATTTACTAGGCAGCGTAACTCCTTGGAAGCACCTACAAAATTCTTTCCGTTGTCACTCCAAAGGTCACTGCAGTGACCTCGTCTGGCAATGAATCTTTTAAACGCTGCAATAAAAGATTGTGACGTGAGATCGCTTACGACCTCCAAGTGCACCGCTCTCGTAACCATACATACAAACAAAGATATGTATCCCTTATAGGACTTGTTGCCGCGACCTTTGGACACTTTAATATTGATTGGACCTGCGAAGTTCACTCCACTGTGTACAAATGCTCTGGCTGGTGTAACTCTGCACAAGGGTAATTGTCCCATGAATTGGTTTTTAAATTTAGCTGAGTGTCGGAGACAAGTTACACATCTACGTGCAAATGATTTGACTGTGCCTTTTGCCGAGATTATCCAGTATTTCGAGCGCAAGTAATTCAACATTAGAGTGGGTCCTCCATGAAGTGTTTTTCTATGGGCTTCATCAACAAGCAGGCCAGCTAGGTGACTATGTTGAGGAATAATAATGGGGTGTCTCATGCTTTCAGAGAGTTGAGCATGTTCTATTCTTCCTCCTACTCGCAGTATTCCTCGTGAATCCAGTATGGGACATAGTGCCTTTAATTTGCTTTTAGTCTTAACTCTTCCTGATCTCTTAACATCGTCTATGTCTTCACTAAATGATTGCCGTTGAAAATCTCTAATACAAATTTCCAGGGCCTCATCTAATTCCTCGCTGGTCAGGTAAGTGTGTCCTTTCCTTTTTATTTTAAAAAATCTTCTGCAATACGCCACAACTCGGACCTTGGTCGTCGTTTTATCCTCCCGAACTACGGCGTGGTGAGGTAAGTACACAGCCTCCGTTCTCTGAGTGTCCGTTACGGGATTGATTACTTCTATGTGACCAAGGTCGAGGTATTCTTGAATGACCTCAGTATACTTCTGTTTCATCTCTGGATCCTTCTTAAAACGACGTTCAAGAAGGTGAAATCGTCGAAGCGCAATGTCTCTGGTATGGCCGTATTTGCACTGTGGGTCTGAGTCTCTAAATGGTAAACTGACAACATACCGACCAGTGCTGTCTCGTTGAGTGGTTTGCTTGAAGAAGTCTTCGCATAACTGCTCTTCCTGGGTAAGTATTTTCTTCTTACTGTATGCGTCAGATTCGATTTCCCAAAATCTTTTAAGCATTTCATTGTCACTGATCTGCGAATGCATGCTTACCAATGCCAGGTGACAATGTGCTGAATCCAAATTCGAATCTCTGTGTGTTCGACCAGACAAAATCCAACCTAACCGTGTATTTTGTGCTATCAAGGGTCCAAGAGGGTGCTTGATTAAACCCTCTTTGAGTACCTGGCCATAAACTTCAGCTCCAAGCAAAATATCGATTTTGTTTGGATTGTGGTACTCTGGATCTGCTAAAACTATTTCTTCTAGTTGATGCCACGTTGGTACTAATACTTTATCACCTGGAAGTAACGATGTAATATTGCCCAAAACATATGCCTGAACTTGGATGTGAAAATTAGGATCGTGACGTGATTTAATAGTTACGAAAACGATAAACTTGGAGACCATAGCTCCACCGTCACCTCCTATGCCCGAAATGACACCTCTTGCGGGTGTCTTTTTGAGTCCAAGTAACTGAACTGCTGATTCGGTTATGAACGACGTCTGGGATCCTTGATCCAATAACGCCCTCAGCAGGTGGTTGTATCCGTTGCCTGTCTGTGCTTCGACAAGAGCGGTTGCTAATAAGACCTGATTTGGAACAGCCTTCTTACTGAAGTGAGTGGTTATAGCGGCAGCATTTAATTCCTGCACCGCATCGGAAGCAGTACTCGATGTAGCTACTGCCGACTTGACTACTGACGTCGTCTCTGCAATGCCTCTAGACGACGTTGATCCTGAGGATTCCTTAGGGTGTAATAAAGAGTGGTGTTTGCGATTGCAAATCTGACAAGTGGTGGGGACACGACAAAACTTAATAGAATGATTCGACCCTAAACAATTAAAGCATAAGCCACTAGTTCGAACGAAATCACTACGTGTTTTATAGTCATTTTTACAAAACTGTTTACAGTGACTAAGTTTGTGGGGTTGTTTACAGAATGGACAGCTTGCTTTAATAGGGGTATCGTTTTTGGAAGCAACCGCATGAAGAACTCTTGGTTTGTAACTTGACCTTTGTCTACCACTCTGTGTATCCAAGTACTCTAATGACCGAAATCGAGACTCTAGAAACGTTTTAAATTTGTCAAATGTTGGTAATTCCTCACAGGTACCAACCGTTGACTCCCATAATTTTCGTGACTCGCTATCTAATTTTTCGCTGATTAAGTATATTATTATAACATCCCAAGAGTCAACGCCAACACCAATAGTGGATAGGCCATTTATGCAATCTACAGTTGTGTCCAAGAGTTCCTTAATAGCGCCTGCTGATTCCAAAATATTCGATTGATTTATTAATCTCTTTAACATAGCGTTACACAAATACCGCTTGTTGTCATAACGCTTAGTTAGCAACTGCCAGCATTCCTGGTAATTGGCAGCTGTGACTGGAGTGTGGCGCAACAATTGTTCTGCCTCACCCGCCAAATGACCTTTTAAATAATGTAACTTCTGTACATCATCAATTGCATCGTTGTTGTGAATTAGCGATAAAAATAGATCACGAAATGATATCCATTCTGTATATTTTCCCGAAAACATTGGAATAACGACTTTAGGTAATTTAACATTATTTATTATACATCTTTATTACCGGTTGCTTATCTGAACCCTTAGTCGGCTTTGCATGTTTTGAAATGTGTTCTCTCAACTCTGATTTGTATAAAATATAACTTTCTTCGGTGCTATCGTATGTATCTGCTTTAAAATAATTATGTTCATTATCTTTTGCAAGTTCTACTATCTTTCTATGTGTTTCTACAAAAGACTTCCATTGTTGTTCCAAAGTTTCCAATCTGGTCTCCAGGAACGAAGGTGTTAGACGTTCTTTAGGTGATTTTTTATAATTTACTCTGCCCTTCTCAATGGAATTCTTTGCATCATTTTGCAACTTTATTAATGCTTCCATGTTGAAGTTAGAAGTTTTTGCTTGAATGCGTCACTCACTTACTCCAAATTTACAATACTTCTTAATTTCTCCGATAGGGGGCGCTTGTAACTCCTCCACACCACCGCTATTATTCGCCTGTATTGTCCGCTTCAATGACACTCCGCTGTATAATGCGCTTTCAACACGCTGCTGACAGCCAAGTGACTCCACACCCGTGGCGCCCTCTGCTGTTGACGGAATACGTCGCTGAGGCCTCTTCGTGGCGCTAAGCGGCGGCAGCACTTCAGAGCGATCCACTCTGATTTCTATGCTGGTGAAGCACTAAAAATTGCACGCGTCGACACTACCGCGCACTGTATCCGGCTGAGAAGGACCATGTATAAATGGATCCCCAGGAGCCTTAATAAAACCACTGACTCTTAACAACTAGTTTTATTTATCACTAGGTTACACTTCACACAATAGGTAAAAGGATGTTCGTTCAATACAAAGAAATCAAATCAATTTATATTGATTGCGGTAACGAAACCATAACGCGATTTAGCCAAACGGCACAGCGACATCTATCGAAGAGCAATGTAACATATTTCAATTTATACAAATATGTAGTACACGGGGTACTCACTTCTGTGGCAGTACGGGTCTATGTGGTGTGGGCGGACGCGGATGTTCTAAAGGCTCCCTTAGGTGCAGTGACAGCGCACACACGTATCCTACGCATAAATACACCGGTCGCATCAACGCTGACAAGATCACTCCTGGATCCGGGTCGAGCACTGCAAGATGTAAAAATCGAATAAAAATTATATGTAAAGTAAAATTACTGTTGTTACTTTGGATGCGTTCATCTAAATCTGACCCTGTGACTGTACACGACAGCAATATAACAACAACTAAAAAACACAAAAGCAGATACACTTCAAAGTCAATACTCACGTGTATTTCTCATAGAAATTAACATGGCTACTATGACGAAGTGCAGGTTGGGTAACATTGGTCCATCCGAGAACAAAAATCCCCACAAGTTGGGGATCTCGGAGCGGGGAAACTCTCTACCGAAGAGTAACCGAAGCCATCGGCTGGAAGATAATGATATTTATTAAATTAAATAACGTTATCCGTGTGGTGACAGATTAAGAATATGGAATGTCACCACTCCTATTCATCCCGTGGGTGTCGTAAGAGCCGACTATGGGAACAAATTACGCAGGGCAACAGTACCTACTGCAAAAATAAGGAAAACTTGAAACAAACCCTATACCAACCCGTTTGGCCAGCGCGGTATAGTAGACCAAAACCTATTTTCTAAGAAGAGCTAGCAGAGTCCAGCAGTGAACTATTAAAGGCAGTTGATGTGAGGATGTTGAAATTAAGTAGTGACTTAAAAAAATAGTTCATGGCAGCAAGGTATACTGAATCCCTGAGCATAGTTCACAAAATTATTTATTTTTCAGTGAGAGAGTTAGCAGACGTGTCACCTGATGGTAAGTGACTACCGCCGCCCATGGACTTTTGTAACTCAAGAGACACAACTGCGTTCCCACCTTTTGAATGACCCCTCCCCCTCCAAAAGCAGACATGGGGCATGAAGAACAACGAAGAGTTGCCTAATATTAGACATGGAAATGATTACTACTTTTAAATCATAGTCATTTGATTAAATGGTGGTTCTAGTCACAGCGATTTCACATGTGATTTTGTCATAGACAAAGATAAATGGCATTAAAATCAATCAAAATTGTTTTTATCAAAGATTACGATATATTTTTTTAAATTTTAATTAAGCGTCTAACACCCGATTTTTATTTTGCAAGGTTTATTTGGCCTTCATTTTAAAAATTGGAATTGTTAACAATTAAAAAAATAAAAGTTACTGAACTTGTACAAGGTTGTTTTACGTTTTCAGTTTCTTTTTGTTGTTGAATTTTAAAATTATCATATTTTAGAATGTATTAGAACTGAATGAGAACACAAGATACGTATTAGGCCACTTGTAACTATGTAAACAAATCTAGGAAGCTAATTTAAGCATATTATTATTTCATGACAATACTACAATTTGAGCTGATCTGATAACAGAGTCCGTGTGGTGACGGATTAAGAATACAGAATGTCAGCCCCCCTATTCATTCCGGAACAAACTACGCAAGACAACAGCACTGCAAAGAGAAGGAAATCTTAAAACACACCCTATACTAACCCGTCTGGCCAGTGTGGTAAAGTAGGCCAAAACCTCCTTTCTAATGAGAGGCCTATGTCCAGAAGTGGACTAATAAAGGCTGTTGATGATGATGTGGAGGAACTAGTGTCATGTCCCTCAAACACAAAGGCAGGACAAGGCGAGGTGATCATTCCTGGCAAATGGCGGGCGACCCAACGATTGATGTTGAGAAGTTTGAATACGCTGCTTTACTTTTAAAGAATCGCTTTCCATAATTTAAAATTCTGTTTACGGAAATGAACACGCTCACGATAGGTATTAAGTACATACCAGGCTCACAAGCTGACTGAATCAGTTAATGGCATCTATTCATCCTGAATTAATATTTATAAAAATATTGGTATCAACATCATCACTTTCTTGGCCTTTGCCCAATTAATTTGAGGTCGATGAAAACCATACTTATATTTTAACGTAAAGGGGAGTTTGTTTGTTTGTTTATTACGCTTTCACGCCTAAACCGCTAAACCGCTTTAAAAAATTCTTAAACCAATGGAAAGCTAAGCTAGTAACATAGGCTACTTTTTATCGCGATAAACCGGCTTACACGGGGGCGGAGCCACGGTCAAAAGCTAATGTACAATGCTGCAAAAGATTTTGGCTGGTCGCCTGCCTGTCCTTAGGAATGTAATCATTTTCAGATGAAACAAAGTACGTATTCAGTACAGTAAATGTACCCTCATTTGGGAAAGTAAAAAGAATAAGTTAGGGTTCTAAGGTAAAGGATCTCCGCAAGTCTTGGATAAGAAAACGGGACTAGAAATCGAATAAAATCACAATCACCTGTTATAAATCGACTCGCAGTGCGACAATGTAGATTCGCGAAAGGTCTAAATCCAAAAAAAAGGTCGGAGTCTTTGATAAAAAGTTTGGTTTTTTCTTGGCATAAATTATGGCCTTTATCTTTGTCTATGACCAAACGGCAGTAGTGATTTATCACAGGTGTAATCGCAGTGACTAAAACCAATTATTTCATTACACGAATATGATTTAAAAGTAGTAATAAATTCCATCACTAAGCAGGACTAACATTGTACTTACTAGTAGAGGTCAAGTTCATGTTCAAGTACCTATAAGTATATGTCCGTCTCCAACCATAGAGAGGCGTATAGAACAGGGACATCAACTAGTACTAAAACATTGATAAGGGAAGTACCCATACTACGTGACCCTATTTTTTAACAATCCCCCCATTAATGACCACCCATTGTCGCGACCCCTCCCACTCTAGTTTTCACGTAGTAATTCAAAAATATAGTTTTAAATATTTTTAAGCAAAAAGGAAGTAAAAAAATAATTTGGCTCATATTATTTTTCTTTATGAATACAGAATTTACCATACTTACATATAGCTATAGATAGACGACTGCTGGTTTAATGGTTGGCTAGTAGTAGGAATAATAACAATAATTTCATATATCTCACACAGGGCAGTCTGATCCCCAACTAGACAGAGCCTGCACCATGGTAACTAGACTGTTTGACCAGTACACTACCGACATGAACCCACTCTTAACACAAGCAATTTAGCTTAGCGGAAGGTGTTAACGGGAAAACTAGTAATTTCGGTTGCTACTTTGTATTTACTGTATTTACTGTTGATAAACATACTTATATATTTCTTAATACATACATATTATAGATAAATACCAGTCAGATACACAACAAATAATAATTCTTATCAAACAATCTATTTATTTATTCTTATATTTATTATTGACGACCGAATGGCGTAGTGGTTTGCGTAACGGACTGCTATTCCAAAAAGGACGCGGGTTAGTTTGGGACTAGATGGCGTTGTGTGAATGTGGTAGAATATTATTATTTATTATTATTCTTAATCAGAACGGCTTCTGGCCACTCACACTAATTAAGTTTACAATATAAAACTAAGCTAATTCTAACACACAGACTTGTCACATTACACCAGACATACAGACATAATCGTCTACCATCCATTCGCTAACAAGTCACAGTCTTTATTTGAGTCCAAGACAGAGTTGAGTAATTCATTTATCATGTCCTTTTCCTTTATTTTTGCAATAATTTGAGTCACTAACCCCTAGACTGACAATACAGTCAAACGATGTATTCGAACGAAAACCTAAGCCCACCTGCTGTCCCTGTAACCAAGCGTGGTATATAGTAGATCCTTCCCCCCTGACGTCACGTAACATACGTACGATCCCTAACAAGTCACAGTCAATAGATAATAATACTCACATTCCGAACAGCTCCATGGATATATTGCACTCGAACAAATGTGTGGCTAACTCCAAATCTAACGGAACCAGGAACTCTTCTCGGACATTGTCCAAATATCTTATAACTTCGTTGGGATTCTGGAATACAAAATTAACTTTTAAAAACCATTTGGACCAAAGCATGGCTTTACCACCCCCACGGTAAAATATTTTGTCGTATGTAGGTAATACTTTTTCGTTGTAATCACAGTTGGTTACCTGTGGTCTTAGGGCATTTATATTGTGACTATGACAGCCCCGGATCTATGAGGGAGGAGGGAGGGGGTGGGGCTTGTAAAACATAACATAATAAGGTATAAAAAAACAATATATTCTTATGCCCCAATCACGAAAAATGCACACCTTTATATATTTGTGTGTTTTTAAGTAATTTTTCTCAAACGATGGAGAGAGGGCGCTATTATTAGGTTTCTGCCCCGGTTCGAAAAAACCGTAGATCCGGGGCCGTTATTTATCCGGGTTAGCTGGTAGAGACCAGTTAACCATTGGCTGATGCAGATAAAATAGAAAGTACGTGCATTTTGGTTAGAATTAATTTTAAATTTACAAACAAGGAACTTACAGCCAAAATGTTGGCTTTATTTTTCGACACTTTAACAGCTTTGAGACTATCTAGACATTTCAATAATCTAAACATGTAGAATCAATTTTTTTTATTCAAATTTATAAACAATCATTTCTTGGTTGAATAGAGATTTATAAATATTTAAAAGCCAATAAGAAGACTCAAGAGATTAGCTCAAAAATATAAAAGCTAGAAAAAATGTCAAGCGTGTGTCGTTTTTTTTTAATTAAAAAAATTCTTACGTGAGTTACTTTTGCCGTGGGCAGCGTCCCACACGAGGATGGCACGACGTCTCCCGTCGTATAGAACTTTTCCAAGCCTTTCATTATTGCAGTGAAAAGCATGCTAAAAACGAACGTCCATTACGTATTGGTCGAAGGTCCATGTTGTTGATAGTAAAGTCTAAGAATTCTGATCCTAAAGTGAGTTTGTTTTTTACGCTTCAAAATCTTACCCACTTCATCTAAAATTACGAAATTATGCACAGGTACGAAAAAAGTAGTGTTTCTAACGGCCATCATCATCATCAACAGCCTTTAGTGGTCCAGTGCTGGCCTTTCCATAGAAAGAAAGTTTTGGTCTACTATATGACGCTGGCCAAACGGTCTGGTAGAGGGTTTGTATCAAGTTTTCGCTCTCTTTGCAGTGCTGTTGTCTTACGACACCCACGGGATGAAATCGGGTGGTCACACTCCGTATTCTTAATACGTCACTACACGGACAGGAGTGCCTAAAAAGAAAGTTCCTAACAGATACCTAAATAGATTAGCAAAATATAAATTGAATCTTCGCTTTCGTTTCTCGAGCTAAGCCGCCCAGAAGTTGTAAACTCTAAATTAATAATGGAAAAACTAAAGCTCCTTTCTGAAATCAAGAAAAGATCGTTGATCGCCTTACAATAGTCAAACATGATGAACATCTAACATATCACCTACTCGTCAAATAAGCGCGCGTTCCTCCAACCTCCTGTAACACATTTCCGTCTCTTTTAACTAAGGAATCCCACAGATTAATGGTAAGAAAGAGGGAAGACGATCAAAAAGAGAATTGGTTGACAATAAGAGGATTGAAAGATAATAAACTATTAAGTCTTTATTGATTTATGTGTCCACTGGCAACATTAACACGGAGTCCAGTTAAACTCGCCGAACTAAACTTTATGAATTCCAATTTTGAAATTTGAAAAAAAAAGTAACAGATGAATTGATAACTTCCTCTTTTGTGTTTTTGAAGTCGGTTAAAAATAAATTTGAAAATCGGTCCACAATTGGCAGAGATATTGCGTAAAATACATAAAAATAAAGATACTCACAAACTGTCATGTTCTAGGCAGTCTTCCTTTAGGATGTATTGTAACTTCTCTCTGAAACAAGTAAACACTTAACTATAGATAAACATTAAATCAAATAGACGTGTCTAGTTTAGTGCCATGTAGATACATAAAAACGTCACCATGTCTCACAATATGTCACTAGACAAGTGTCCTGTTCCTTTAGTGGTTACTGATCGAGACTGTTAGGCTAGACGTGTAGTGAGGTTCCCATCCCGGACAAATAATTTTGTGATGTGAACATTTGTTCTGTGTCTGGATGACATTTTTCTATAGTTTATTTGTTTGGTCGAATCTCAATCGGCAATCTCAGTCACTACTGATTCGAATTTAATTATTTTTTAGTGTTAGATAGAACATTTATTGAGGAAGGCCATATAAAATTACGCTATGACCAACAGGAACCTAGTGTCAATGAAAAATGATTCAAAAACGACGCAAATTTATTACTTTTAAGACGCAGACGAATTTACGCCGAGCTGATCGGCCGCCGATGTTTTTCTCATAAAAATATTTTTTACTAACAATAAAATCATGACGAGTTTGACATTTTATCCTTTACTAGCTGACACGCGTAACTTCGTCTGCGTCTCTCAATAGTAATAAATTTTCTCCGTTTTTGAAACATTCTTCATTGGTGCTCCGCTCCTATTGCTCTTAGCGTGATGATATACTATGATGATATACTATGAATGATGATATATAGCCTATAGCCTTCCTCGATAAATGGGCTATCTAACACTGAAAGAATTTTTCAAATCGGACCAGTAGTTCCTGGTTCAAACAAACAAACTCTTCAGCTTTATAATATTAGTATAGATTCAGCTGTATAAACACATGATTTTATTATTTGCCTAGAACAGTACTGACAACAAAATATCAATAACAATATGACGCATCTTACACACAGTTTTCGGATCCCAAACTAGGCAAAACTAGTTTTTTTTTGTTAGAGAGGGCAGACGAGCAAACGGGTCACCTGATGGAAAGTGACCATCGCCGCCCGTGAACGTCTGGAACTGAGGTGTCACAAACACGATGCCGGCCTTTTAAGAAGGAGTACTTTTAGAGTAAAAAGAGTACTACTACTTTTTTTTAAGGTTTGAAGGTCGTATCCGTTCGGAAATACCGCAGACGATAACCCGTTCTACAGATTGATTGTGCGAGGCAGAAAGTGGTGGAGGGCAAATTATCCAGGTGATGAAGATACATACATAGCTATTGTAGATAGACACGGCAAATGACCGTGCTTATGACACAATTATTTGTCCTGGGGGAATCGAACCCACGACCCGATTATTTATATTTGGCGTAGCAGCCGAATATAAATAATTCGAATAAAAATTAATGTCTGAATGTTTATCCTCGTGCGTCAGTCTTGTACCCCAGAATCAGTAGGAGGGTATAAAAAAGTATTTTTTTTTATATAAAGTGTGTACGTGCGCAGGTAGTGTATACTCACCCCAGATCCTTGGGGGCGAATGTTCTATCTGCATGCAGCTCAAACAGTAATGGGGCCAGTATCTCGTGCATGCCTTGCCTGTATCCCACGTTAGAGTGGGAACGCGCCCAGAAGAACAGCACACGAACCTACAACATGATTACGCTGCTCACTGATTCTCACAGGAAGTTACGAGTACATTAAATCTTGCTGGCATTAATATTTCAATATTGGCGTTTTAAGCCAGTTTATTAAGAAAATTGAAATAATTATAAGACATGGCGGTAGAAAAATAAAATGCCTACCTTCAAATATTAGCGATATGAATTGTATATTAGTAATTTGAAGGTCGCTATTTATTGATTGGTACAAAACCGTTATATAAGTATATAATATATATTATAGTTATAATATAAGTTAAATTCAGTAAAATAATAATAATAATAATAACTTTATTGAACTTCAATTCCTTTGTTACAATTATACAATCCAATAAACATATTATAACCGTATGAGGTGTACAAAGTAGACCCTGCCCACCAAACTAGGTATTCCTGTAACTTGGAAGACAGTGTTCCGCTAATGGCTCGTTCACGGTATTTCATTATAGGTATTTTACATTTATGTTGAAATTTTTAAGGTTTGAAGTTAAAGTAGTGGGACGTACACGCATGAAGTGTTTCGTGTGTATTTGTGTATGTGTGTGTGTGTGTGTGAGTGAGTGCGTGTGAGTGTGGATTAATGTCTAATTAGAAGGTTGTGGATCTGTGTTGTGGAAAATAATGTATCGTATATATTTTTTTATATTCCATGATGGAGCAATGCTTCGGTTTGGGCATGGTCTTTCTCTAGTAACCAATTGCGTATATTCTTCTTAACTTCATAGTTATTTAATGTTGTTATTTTAATTTGCTTGTTTACATTCTTGTAAATTAGAGAACTTATAACATACAGCTGTTTCCTGGCGAATGACGTTTTGTGTGCTTGTGTGGGGCATATGAGCCTATTTGTTCGCTTAGAGGGATCTTGTGGAGGGAGGTTTTGATGCCTCCAAAGCGTGGCACGTAGCACATAGAGCTGTCTCACCGTAAGTACTTTGGTTTCACCATAAAGCTGTTTTGTGGGATACCCAAAAGGCTTAGCCAGCATCACTTTGAGAACAGCTCTCTGTGCTCGCTCCACCTCCAGAAACCTTGATTTAGCGGCGCCTCCCCACACCGATATACAATAACCGATGACGGATTGACAAAGCGCAGTGTATACCTCTTTCAAGATTTTCGCATCTGCACAGTGTCTTAGAGTTTTAAAGATGTGAATAGATTTCCTAATTTTGTTAGATAGTGTCTCTAGATGTGTATACCATTTAAGTCCTTCATCGATCATTACGCCAAGGTATTTAACATTGGTTACTGGTTGGTTATAATGATTATCAACAGCCTTTTATAGTCCACTGCTGGACATAGACCTTTCTTTAGAAGGAAGGTTTTGGCTTACTATACCACGCTGGCCAGACTGGCCAGGGTTTGTTTCAAGTTTTACTTCTATTTGCAGTGCTATTGTCCTGCGTAGTTTGCTCCCTTAGTCGGCTCTTACGGCACCCGCGGGATGAATTAATGATAGGTGGTCTTACTCTGTCACCAGACAACAACGATTAATCTATACTAATATTATAAAGCTGAAGAGTTTGTTTGTTTGTTTGTTTGTTTGAACGCGCTAATCTCAGGAACTACTGGTACGATTTGAAAAATTCTTTCAGTGTTAGATAGCTCATTTATCGAGGAAGGCTATAGGCTATATATCATCACGCTAAGACCAATAGGAGCGGAGCACCAATGAAGAATGTTTCAAAAACGGAGAAAATTTATTACTATTGAGAGACGCAGACGAAGTTGCGCGGGTCAGCTAGTCTATACTAATATTATAAAGCTGAAGAGTTTGTTTGTTTGTTTGTTTGAACGCGCTATTCTCAGGAACTACTGGTCCGATTTGAAAAATTCTTTCACTGTTAGATTGCCCATTTATCGAGGAAGGCTATAGGCTATATATCATCACGCTAAGACTAATAGGAGCGGAGCACCAATGAAGAATGTTTCAAAAACGGAGAAAATTTATTACTATCGAGAGACGCAGACGAAGTTGCGCGGGTCAGCTAGTAAATAATAATTATTGACGAAACATACCATCATATCATGTACTTCTTTGTCCCTGAAGTAAACCTCCTCGGGAAATGTCCTGACAACGTCTTGTAGTATCAAAGTTTTGAGCTCATTATCACAGAAATGCTGTTTCCATACGCTCTGAAATATGAAAATAAATATTACCATTAATACATTAAACGGGCGATAAGTTTGGTAAAGCATATAGCTACAAGCTGGTCCATAGATTGGTGACCAATCAGAAGTCACTAGCAACCATCTTATTCGGTCTGAATGTCCGTCTCTGTGTCAGCAGTAATGCTTAGCTTATATAAATAAGATCGAGTGGCAGTGAAATTGTTATAGAGTTCATATATTTCTATTTTGACACATTTCTGAACCAGGACAGTCTCTTGAAGACTGGTGAGTGGTCTCACTGACAGCTCATTTCCCAGTAAGCAATTCTTCTTCTCAGCCGAAAGACGTCCGCTGCTGGACATAGGCTTTCCCCAAGTTTTCCTACAACAACTGGTTCAACACTGCCGCCTCCAGCAATTACCAAAATCTATACTTGGTATTAATATGCTAGACTTACCTCTTCATTCTGAGAAAGTGGATCGTCGCCAATGACCGCCCTGGGGTCCATCGATAGTTTTTCCTTCAAGTCATTGTATAAATTTCGATGAGCCTTTAAACTGCAATAAATAAGTAATTATGCTTAAAGATTTTATGTGCGAACTAAGAAGGAAGTAATTCTTGTAAAAATACTAAAATATGTCTATGTTAGTGAAGTCTTACAATATGTAAACCATTATTAACCTGTTAACCGGGGAGTTCCCGTTCAAATTATGCAACATGTACCGGGCGCGTATTGTTTCGCTAGATGTCAATACGTCACGCCCGGAGACCATCATTTCATATTTTTATTTATTCATACAATAAATGAAAAACTATGAAATATATATCGTTTACTAATATTTTTGAAGTACAAAAGGAATCATAAAACAAGTAAAAGCAAGTAAACAAAATAGAATTACAAAGGACGTATTCATATGTCCTACCCGTACCCGATATTGTTTACGCCTGACGCATTTATACGTCTTGTCCGGTAAACAGGTTAATATTAGAACAATTATTTGAAAGGCAAACGAGCAGAGGGGTCATCTTCACTTACAACTCATGAGTCACAAGCACTTTGCCGGGTCTTTGAGTCAACTCCTCCCCCAGAAATAAGAGGAGGAAGAGTTTTGGGCTCTGGTAACCTTATTCACTACTCAACGTCTTAGTTGTGTTTCTTCGGCACAAATGGGCAGTCTCGAACACCATTGTCAAACAGAAAGACGATTTTACGCAATTATTTCGTTACCTTCCACCGAGACGAAAAAAAGAATGAGTGAGGTTTTCGGATCTTTGAACCACCCCGTTACCCCGACTCTGGAGCAGGGTGTTTTAAAGAGAGGCCAAGCACTTATGACTCTTTAGTTGCAGGTGTCCATGTGCGGTGGTAGTCACCTACTATCACCCGTCTGCAGTCCACAGAACTTTAAACTAAGTTTGTTTGAAATTCGTGCCGTCAAATGCCTGTGCCTGCAGCATACCAGAGTATTATTCATTAGTCCTTACAAAGCCTCTTTAAATTACCTTGAGACAATATCTGCATTTGGTGGTGGTAAAGCATTCAATAGGATGCTCCAAGCTAAGCTCCTTGGTCGAGGTAACCTCTGTTGAATGGCTATACTTTTGAGATTATCTATACTCCAAGTAGGCAGATCCAACCTAACAAAAAGTATTAAAAATTAATTATTTTCATCTATCTATTTTGCAAATTGGCTTGATAAAGGGCGGATTCGAGGGAGAGGGGTTGGACTACTAGGGGTCATGAGCCCTGAGGGCTGAGTCTAATTGCTACAAAATCAAATTGGAGCTTGTCGGGAGTCCTCACTAAAAATGACTTCCCCCATGGGTTAAAAGCTGAATGCAGTGCTGCCTAAGTATTTTTTTTTTTATTTTGTTTGGAATACCAACAGCCTTTAACGCCACTGCTGGACATACGCCTCTCCTTAGAAAGGAGGTTTTGGCCTATTATACTACGCAGGCCAGACGGGTTGTTATAGGGTTTGTGTCAAGTTTTCCTTCTCTTTGCAGTGCTGGTTGCCCTGCGTTACAAATAACGTAAGGTAAAACATTTTCTGAGTTATAATCTCTATATTTTTATATGCCGGTCTTCTATCACCCAAAATTACGCTCTACAGAACAGTCATACGACCAATAATAACCTGCGGTTCTATTGCGTGGTGGCAGAGAACAGACCTAAGCAAAGTCATAAACAAACTGCAGCAATTTCAGCGCCTCTCATGCTCTACGATCACTACATGTGAACAACGAGCTGAACTTGAAGTGCCTCTTGGTCTGACGAAACTGGATCTGTTCATACAGCAAGAGGGAGCCATGGCGATCATAAGATTTAAACACCTGGGTGTGTGGCACTAGGTCAAGAGATCACACTCTAAATTATAGGATCAATTAGTGGAATACGAACCACTAATAGCAGCCCTATGTGATAGGATCCTAAAACATTATATCTTCACATATCCGAATCTACACTGACGGTTCCAAGAGTGGTTTAGAAACTGGAGTCGGGAGTTTTCTCACAAAACCTTAACATATCACTAGCGTTAGGTCAACACAGTTCCATATTTCAATGCGAATGTGGAGCAATAACTTACGCCGCCAAAACAGTGACTGCACGGATGGCGTAGTGGTTTAAGCGGTCGCCACGCCGCTTCCTACTACGCCGAGTGTTGTGGGTTCAAACCCCACATGGGACGACACTTTGTGTGATCCACAAATTGTTGTTCTGAGTCTGGGTGATCATAGTGTCCGTTTCATGCATGTTTGTAAAGTCCCCCGCGACACAGGATTTATTCCTAATGCGGGTGTTGTCTTTTTTACAAAACGAAGTATTTCACAAACGAAGTCAGGGTATTTAGGATTATAACATCCAAATACTGACTGACAGCATGGCCGTAATAACAGCGCTGGAGGGCAACAAAATGAACTCTGGTATTGTCTTCGAATGTCATCGAGCATTGGAGCAGCTTGCCAAAGCAAACAGGGTACTCCTCGAATGGATTAAAGAGTATGGGAATGACGCCTCAGATGAGTTGGCAAGCTGGAGGGGCTTAGCAACTTCAGTTGCCCAACCATACTCTGCCACTGCCATTTTACCAACTTCGCTCCTTGGCTCGACAACATACTCGTGAGGCACACAACTAGAGGTGTAAAAACTCACCCGGCTGTAGACAGTTTAAACTGGTGCTGACTGAAGTCTCACTACGACCTACTTGCAGATTGATCAATTTTAGCAGACTAGACATCCGAATAGTTGTAGGAACTATAACGGGACATCTAACCTTGAACTGCCAATTATTCACCATTAATGCGAAAGGCAGTCCTCTTTGCAGAGAGTGTGTGAAATCAGAAGAAACGGCCACCCACGTAATTCTGGAATGCAAGGGAGTGGCCACTCAACAGGCTAGTACCACACATGATAGAGAATCGCTCCTAGAATCCTGTGAGCCCGCCTCAGGAGGCTTCTGCGCTTCTGGAAAGATGTTAAGTTGGCTCACCTAGCCAACCTTTCCTCCTTGAAGGACGACTTTTTAGCCTAAATGAGGAAACCGGAGCCCACAACCAATAGAAATTCTCTTTTCCCTTGTTTACACTATAATTAGTACGAATGATAAGTACAATCAATTCTATCATTCATAACTATATACATATATAACATAACTGCACGGGTGGCGTAGTGGTTTAAGCGGTCGCCACGCCGATCACAATTACGCTGAGTGTTATGGGACGATACTTTGTGTGATCCACAAATTGTTGTTCTGAGTCTGGGTGTTCTTTGTGCCCGTTTCATGTATGTTTGTAAAGTCCCCCGCTACACAGGATATAGTCTGTCCGAGTCTGAGTTGCCTTTAAAAATAAAACATTAATACAAGGGGGTGTTTTTGTTATGAGCTGGCAATGTCCTTGTATGTCAATTGCATTGATCATATTGTAAGTAGAAGTTAAGCTAAGTATATATAGAGCAACAGAAGGTGATAAGTATATGTATTTTGTTGTTCAATATCTATTATTATAACATTTTTTACATAGCAGGAGTTTGGTGATGATTATTTTCATCCATTTCAGAAATATATTTCTTAGTAAAAATCTGTTAAATAAAATAATTACGATAAAATATGACATGAGAATATATATGAAATATTTTATTTTATTAACTTATTTGCCTAACGATCAATACGCCTAAGTAAACTCGGTTCCAAAAATAACGGGTCAGTCACATAAACCCGAATATCTCCCGAACTACGTTGCCATCCTAATGAAACGAAGACTGTACAATTGATAATTTAATTTTACAGATAAAAAATAAAATAAAACTTAAATCTAAACTCTCTAACTCCTAACTTATCTCTAAATTAATAAAAAAACTAAAGTAGTAATATTTTTCTTAAGATTACATTTTTTTATGATTGTTTTTTTGCTGTTTTTCATCACTTTCTTCATTTAATACTTTGTATTGCCTCCACGAGCTCTTCTGACAGCTTCCAGGCGATTAGGCATGCTGTACACCAAATTTCGGAGCCGGTGCTGAGGAATACCTTCCCATTCCTCCACCAGTGCTTGTTTGAGCTCGGGAAGCGTGATTGGTGGGGGGTTTCGGCCTTTCACGCATCTCTGAAGCTCGTCCCAGGCGTGCTCGATGGGGTTTAAGTCCGGGCTTCGCGCTGGCTACTGCATGAGTTCGATACCGACCTCTTGAAGGTAGTCATGTACAATTCTGGCGGTATGGGGACGCGCATTATCATGCATTAATATGCCATGCCAGTCCATCCTGACCATGAAAGGACCTACATGTTCATTGAGGATCTCTTCCACGTACCTCTCTGCATTTAGAGTTTCATTTTGAATGAGTACCAGCTCGGTGTGGGCCTCAGTAGAAATCCCAGCCCAAACTTGTACGGAGCCTACACCGTACGCCACTTTTTCCTCCACACACGCTGGATGTAAGCGCTCCCCTGGTCTTCTGTACACCAACTGCCTACCATCATGCTTATAAAGCATGAATTTAGACTCGTCCGTGAACATTACCCTAGACCGTCAAGTGTCCAGTTTAGGTGCTCGCGCACGTATCTCTGTCTTGCAATTCGATGTCCCCGTTCCAGTTTGGGGCCATTTGCGGGCCTCAATAATTTCAAATTTGCTTTAGCAAGACGTCTTCTTACTGTTTGAGCGCTTAAATTGCCACCTCCAAAGCGAATAAAGTGAGTTTTTAAACCAACAGCAGTTTGAAAACGATTTCGGAGCATTGTAGCCACCAGTTGTCTGTCTTCCCTGGCCGTTGTGCATCTTGGTCTGCCATTTCCTGGTCTTCTAAGGTGTGATCCGGTCTCTTGGTACCGGTGGACTACCCGCTGAACAGTCGACAAAGATACACCAATGTTTCTGGCTGTTTCACGCTGGCTCCGCCCAAGTTCCAAAAAAGTTAGGATTCTGGTACATTCCTCTAGCGTGACTGCCATGCTTCACCTCACAGAATAATAATTATTCACGTGGAAGACGTTCACGATATTTTTTTTTGTGACAGAATAGAAATGGAAAGCGTCCATAATGAAATGAAACAAAAAAATTGTTTTTTAAAAATAGTCATTTTTTAAAATTTTGTTTTTCTAATGAAGTTTTTTTCATCAAGCAGTTTAAATAATATGCTATTAGAAGCGCAACTAAAAAGTCTTTATTCTGTTTTTTATTTCATTGATCTGACTTTTACAGTTCTGGAGGTATTTCAATTTTTGTGATTGACCCGTAATTTTTGGAACCGAGTGTAGTAAAATGTCGAACTACCCTTAATGTCCAATTAGCAACACGTCTAAGTAGCAAATCTTCTAACTATTGAAACATCTATGTAGCAAAACGTATAATTAGCAAATCCTCTAATTCTCATAACGCGTTGATACTTGGGTATAAAAACATTTAGACCTGTTTTACCTAATATAGGTACGATATTTTTCCTTTACGGTTTCTCGACTCTCGGTTTTCAGTTAGACTCAATGCTGATGGAGTCTAACTGAAAACTGAGAGAGTCGAGAAACCGTCAGAGTATGTTCCAACTTACCTTTGCTACCTTCAGAATATCGTCCAGACCGTAAATTTAACAACATTAAGTTTAAAGGCAACAAACGAAGATGTCACAGCAGAAGAAAACGAATACACAAAATAACCAATAACCAGCACCTACACTACACCTACAATAGTGAAACTTGGTATTCTAGACTATGTCGAGCGTAACAGATCAGCCTCATTCTGGACCTTAAAAAAACTAGCTACTATCGACACCCGGAGCCGAAACAACAACGATAATAATTCCGCTATAACTAAACCAACTCAAAAATAAATGCACCCCAAGCCGGCTAGTCACCGTGGGGTTTACGAGACATTTAAAATTTTCCGGAAGTCTAAAAAGGCTATAAAAGAACTAAATACTGTTAAAAAAAAAGAACCATCATTGAACGCGAACCCTCCAAAACAACAAACTCGGGCAGATGTCATAAACACCGCCACAGAATTCTACCTATACCTATAGCGCCTCTAAGGACCTCATGTATCATGAAACTATAGAAAGTCCAACTGAACCAAATGAAAATATAGAGACACCATACTCCAAAGAGATCGACATATTAAGTAAATTGGAGAAATTAAAAGATGACAAAAGTCCCGGCACCGACGGAATATCAAATGAAGCCATAAATTTAGCTAAAACAGTAATCCTTTACGTTACTAATTAATAAAATTCTTAATGAAGAAAAAGTTCTAAAGACATAGACAGAATCAGAAATAATACTGGTTTATAAGAAAGGAGACCCAACAGACGTAGGGGATTACAGACCCATAAGTATAATGCTATATTTGTATAAACTCTTTGCTAGCTGCCTACTGGAAAGAATTAACAGCGATATAGAAAAACATCAACCAAGAGAGCAACCAGGGCTTAGAAAATCGTTCAGACAAACAATTGAAAAATATTATGAATTTCGCAGGGGGTTATCTCTTGGCTATTAGTACCCGAGACGGCGTGCGGTTTTAGTCGGTTCGAGTCCGACATGCCATGAGTCGGTGGTATCCGAGGGGATTTCCGCAAGGAAAAAAAAAAAAAAAGTTTTGTCCTTTGAAGAAAAAGACACAACTAGAACCTTATAGCACTTTTTATTGTTTTTCAAAGTATTCACCACGCAGTTTAATACACTTTTCCATTCGCTCAAACCAGTTATTATAACATTTATTCCACTCTAAAGTGGGGGTGTTCAAATTGGCTGACTTGAAAGCGTCAACTGCTTCTTCATCGAACTGGAACCTTTGACCAGGAAGACTTTTCTTAATTTTAGGAAATGTAAAGAAATCGGTCAGGACTGTATGGAGGATGGTCAAGAATTTCTACTTTTTCCTGCCTCAAATACTCAATCGCTTCACGAGCGCTGTGTGGACTTGCGTTTTCGTGGTGCAGGATGATGCGTCGCTTTCAGTTAGATTTTCGAAGTTCGGCGATGACTTGTGGTAAACAAACTGTATTATACCACTCTGCGTTAACCGTTCTACGATCTTCAAGTGAAATAGTCGCAACATGGCCGGTTTTTCCAACGAACGAACCATCTTCTTTGAAGTGCTTCGAGAACGAACAACTTTAGTCGGTTTTGGCTCGTCTTGAAAGACCCAGATTGTAGATTGTTGTTTGGAATCAGGATCGTAGGCAAAGATCCAAGATTCGTCATCACTGATGATGTCGTAGACGTGATTTGACTCTCCTCGGTTGAACCTTTGCAGAGTTTTCTTACACCATCTGACCTGGGAGGCCTTGTGATCGTTGGAAAGCAGATGCGGTATCCAACGGCAAATTAGCTTTCACACCAACCGCTTCATGCAAGATCTTCTGAATGGTTGTCCCTGAGATGCCTTATAGAGCCAGGTGATCACTGGGAAAGGATGTTTCGGGGATCACCTGTGTCTGATCCGCAAGGAGCCAACGCCTGAGTGCCACCACTGCGATGGTGGACACGGCGCTCCACACGCTGGCAGAATACCCGGCGTTGGTGGAGCAGAGGCAAGACCTCGTGACGGCCATCGGAGTAAGAGTTCTCTCGCGCGGAGCGAGAGTGCGTGGAACTCTGCCGTCTCCTTCTTCTTCTTCGAAAAGATTCTTTAGTCTTTAACAATTTTCTGAACTGTATCCAACAGATTCTCCTTCTAGAACGAGAATTAATTATTTTATAGGCCTACTTTAACCCGTTTTTTGTCTTCTATACTCTTCCCACTAAGCGGATCTTGAATTCTAGTCCGAGGGATCTATTACAGTCTACCAATTTCTCTTATTCCCGTTACTCATTCTTATACTTTTAAATGTCATTTAATTTTTTTCGTCTTTGGTGCTCTGGACGGTGTCTTTTTTTGTATGTGCTAGTTTTGGGACCTTTATCTTTCTAACTTTAAAAAATTAAAATCCCTCATGCTTAAATATGGTTGCCGCAAATTAATGTGTTTATTTCAATTGTGTTGATGAACGACCTTCTATTTAGCCCATGGTTGAAGGTAAATTAAACAAAATCTAATATATAAAATTCTCTTGTCACGGTGTTTGTAACCATACTCCTCCATAACAGCTGACCTGACCTGAAACCTATTTTTATTAAATTTTGTGTGCATATCGGTGTAGCATTGAAAAATACAGACAACAATAGTGTATATGACAAAACAATGTGTTCCGGGTCAGCTAGTTTCTTTATATATACTGGTGGTTGCTTACTAAACAATTGCAGCTTTGCACTTTCACAATGCTACACCCTAAATTGTATATGACCATACTAATGTGATCATACTAAGCAAAACAAAATAATGTCTTATTCTTCAGATTTGTCAAAAGACAAAATTGACAAAAATATTTTTGACAATTTGTCAGTTTGGTTACCCACCATCAGGTTTTACCTTAATGGTTTGCATAAAAATAGCAAAATATAAGTTAATAGTTTCAAAACCTTAACAATTGCTTTAATTAAACACAGAACTTGCCTGTAAAACATGACTTAAGTGCAAAACGTTACCATTGAGCGCCTACAGAGTACTATTTTCTTTTTAAATTATCAATAAAGCACACACCACTAAATCGTCTCGCATATTGACAAATTCTTTTCAGTGCTGGGATAAATCATTTGCTTCAAACTGTGTTAATTCTTATTTGATAACTATTTAAAAATGCATAAATTAAAGAAATTCACTTTTAACTTCTAGAAATGCTATTATCTAGACCCGGAGCCTATTTAATGCAACCATCAAATAGAAAAACTCTTGATCTATATTTTATCAGTTTATCTTTTTAAGTTCTTAGTGTATTGTTTTGCTATCTTGGCTTTAAAGTTCATTTTAAAAAGTTTGCCACCTTAGTAGTTAAAAAAAAAACTATGAATAAATACACCAGCACTGCAACTTGACACAAACCCTATACCAACCTGTCTGGCCAGCGTGGTATAGTAGGCCAAAACCTATTTTCTAAGGAGAGGCCTATGTCCAGCAGTGGACTATTAAAGGCTGTTAATGTGATGTGATGTGATGAATAAAGCATTATGTAGGTGGAAAGAATAAATAATACATATTTAGCAAGTTTATTGTGTTAAAGTCTTTTATTGTTAAATTTCACTTTTATATTTACTGATTGCAATTAAGTCTATGTATGTTAATAATTAATTATTACTTAGCTTACCATTTCAATTATAATCATATGTACCTATTTGAAGAAGTAGATGTTTCGCAAGATTAATTTAAACAAAGAAAAAAGCATAAAGATTCCAGTTTTCATTAGATAATTACACTTACTGATAATCTGCCACTTCTTGGTAGCTTTTGGATGGGGAATTCGGAGAGCTATCCACGCTGTTGTTTTCCTACACCAAAATGTTGTCACAATTATTTATTATTTCATAGAAAGTCTATTAATTCATATGTCTATACTCACCATTTTCAAAATGAGATAATTACGTCAATACATTTTTATCAATACAATTTGAATACAATACGCAAATTAGTATGATTAAGTTTATACTTGACAAGGTTTTAATAGTATTAATTTTTGGTTTATCGAGAAAATGTGATTTAATAACATCACAAACCGCAAACTTATCTGAATGTAAATTTGTGACACTGATGACAGTGACATTATGTCAAGGGTGTTCATATGAAAATATTTTTCGAACCTTGAAAGCTCCTGTGCAAGCCTTGCAGATGAATATGATTTCAAAGAAGCACAATTTTCAGAACGGTCTCTCGTTAAAACTCTTATACAATCTTCTTGATTAAACAAAAAAAATACTTATACCTAGAAATGCATGATTGCATGCCAGATTGACACGTTGATGGACATATTTTATCTGGATTTTATGTAGTGCCAAAAGTATTTTACATCAAAATCATAAAAATCTTTGTAATTAATGTAATATAATTATATTAACATGAAAACAAAAGAAAAAAATAATACTGCATTGCAATTGGTTGATTCAAAATCAACTTTGAAAATGAACCAATAAAAGTCGTATTTTAAAAACATGCATCACGCATCGTGCCGTTCTCGTTACGCGCTATTTCGAGAGGTTTTTTTTTATCTCGGTATCGCTTGCGTCGCGTCTTCTGTGGTCGCGCCTCGCTCGCTGTAGCTTGCGTTTAGGGTGCACTAGAGTCAACTAGAGTAGAGATAGAATACAGCGCAGCGTAACAAAGATCTATGAAGTCTGTGGATTGGTGACGATCTATGAATCTTTTTGTGTCTTTAGTTAGTTAGTGAACGCTCTCACTCAACACAATTTTGTGATTTTGATTATTATAAGATCTTTTGAAATGTTGTGTCTACGTTGGTGATTATCCTTATGTTTGATAAACGCGATTACGCCTTCTAACATGGCCTGCAATATATTAACCGTTATTGTGAACCTGTGCGCGGCAACATCGCAAGCGCTGGCCTGCCTTCGGTTTCGATGACCTTAAGCGTCAGCGGGAGCCATGATTGCCAACCTGCCGCTTCTATTTGCCAACGGCAATCCGACAGCGCTGTCGAAGATATCAGCCAAGGAGTTGGAGAATTTCATAACATTCATGGTGACATGTTCCTGGGGACACGATACCGCGAAAGACATCCTTCAACCGCCGTGGTGGCCTAAAGACGTACGGTTTTCGCACCCATTCGTCAGGCCTGTCGAAAGACCCAGGGATTGGGAAATAAAGCTTAAAAATTTAGTGAAGAAATGTTACGAGTACCACAAGAGCGCTTTTCTGTTGGTGTTTTCAGCTCAGCTCGCCAGGTATCCGCGTAACAGGCTGAGGTATGTCGACAACAAAGACCACACCACATCATTGTATTATAGACCCAGCGGTAGACTATTAGTAACATTCAGAAACGAAAATCTGTATTATGACAAAGTTATCTCTAAGCATAAAAATATAGAAGAAATTCCACAGAAGCCTGCAGACATATATCTCTGTGACAACTGTGACAGCCACTTTGATGATTTAGATATATTTACTGCACATGAGAGGCTATGTAATAATAATGACAACATACCAGCAAATGCTGAACCATGTGGAGCTTTGCCAGAGTTTCTATCTGCTTTAAAGTTATTACCACTTGGCCAAAACTTCGAGGGATCTTCGTCTGTAAATATTAATAATGATGTAAGGCCTAGAAATTTAAGAACTACTGCTACAGTGGACCGTGGGCCTCCATATCCTTTCTCCTCACTGGCCTACATACGAAATATTAGATCAACTGTACAGAGGGACACAACCTATTGTAGAGACAGAATTGAAAGGTTTTGTTGCACCACAAATCCTGTTAGTAGCAGTAAACAGTATAACTTTAAAGGCAAAAATCAGCAGTTTCCTATTAGGTATAGAAGACCTATAGAGTATTGGCAAAGAAAACACATATTTCCCCACCAGAGAAAGAAACATGTACTCGATATCAAAGCTCAGTTGCTGTTTTTGAAATGTAGACCGATCTCTGTTAAAGTAGAGAGGATGTCATTAGAAAGTATAGAGCAATATATTGATAACCTCAGAAAGGAAACTGAGAAGAAACAAGAAAGCTTAGCAGATAAGGATATAGTGTTTGTGGACGGACTTGAGTGTGATCAACCTCCAGACATTGAGATGAAGTTGTTAGATCCATTGAAACGTGTTGATAATGACTGTGAAGTGATAGACCTGTGTTCTGATGATGAGACTCCTAGTGTTAATGAAAATTGTGATCCCCGTGCTGGAGTGACATGTGTAATGCGAGGAGGGGCAGTATTGCGGCGCACGGCAGCTACACCACAGTCCCTCCCTGCAGAGCCCTGTGGTGCCAGACAGCGCCCACTTACTGCCGCTATACTACAGCCGCACCCTGTAATACTCATAGCACATACTTTGAACAATTTACAGACCATATCCCTAGATTGAATTCTTGTTATTAATAATTTATCACTAGGTCCATTGCTAATTATTATTTATTATTCCTTCAAGATTAAAAGTTTTAATGTGAAAATCAAGTTTCATTTTGTACATGTACACTCAGACTAAAGGTATACTGGAAGCCATTCTGTTTATGTATACCTACATCAAATGGCGGATATTTCACTTGTACTTGTGTAATCACATTGACTCTTTTTAATTATTGATCATGCTATGGAAGTCTTTAAAAAAACTTTTAATATCTTATGTAAGCCATTTTGCAACTAGGAATCTGCAATTTGGAATGCAGAATTAATTTTGAACATATCAGCAATAGATTCTATTGGAAGCCATTTTGTTTTATAGAGGATGGTTGACTGTATGCGAAATGGCCGACAAAGCGTCCGCCATTTTGAGTACTTGTAAAATTATTAGTTTTTATTACAAATAACGCTAACAGTAGATTCACAGTGAAACAATAATACTTCTGCTAAAATGTCCAATGGTTTTTTCTTAATTAGATCCATTGTGAAATAGCAGAGTCCATTGGAGGCCATATTGTCGTGTAGCCACAAAATGGCGGACATAACTTTGTATTTTAAAATCACAATTATTTATTTTGTTAACAAATAACTACACAGAAGATGTTTGCAGTAAAATAATAACAATTGGCTTATGTCTTACGTTTGCTCATTCCGCAAGCGCAGACATCCCACAACGCGCATTGCGAAATTATCTATGATGTAATATAAGCTTTGATGCTTTGTGAAATTTATATACATAAATAAAAACGATGTGGTTTCTCATGTACAAAATTGTATTAAATATGTTTTGCCTCAATAACACGCATAATATGATGAATTTTAAAGTTGAAATTTCCTTATGAACGTAGTTGTTATTCATTTACGTTAGCTTTGGAGAGAATATTAATTTTAGTGTTGCAAAACTGTCGATAGCTTCATTATTCAAAAATAATGTTAATACACTATTACGTTTATGGTATCGTTTTGCTTATCATATAGTTCAAGAATATATTAGAATTAAATATACTCGATGATAACTGTGATAGGATCGATGAACCGTCAGTATGTCCTATATAATAAATACCGATACTATTCATTACGTATACTGACGATTGTATCGATATCTATGCCATGATCGTATCGATATCGACGCCACAGTGGATCTTTATTGACGCCACGGTTGAATCGATAGCGACACCACGGTTGGCTTCTGTAAAAACACTGCACGTGTCAATACTAACAATATTGACGATATTGTAAGCTCTATCGATACTGCCAATTGTGTCAATATCATTTTCAAAATTCAGTTTCGATCCACTCTCGATGTCACAAATGTTACAAATGATAGTCTCGTAGTAAAGTATTAATTACTAAGACTACAGCAGCAGAATACAGATTCAACTTTCTGTCACATAACGATATAATCGCATACCTGTCAACTTAGATGTTTAATACTTCGAGAATACCTTTTATGACATTTGTGAGATTGAGAGTAGATGGAAACTGAGGGCCTAGTGTGAGTTTATTACACATCAACTCGCTCTCGACGGTCAGCGCGTTCGGCGTTGCGAAATTTGACGATCGAGTTGATGTGAAATAAACTCACACTAAGCCCACTGAATTATGATGGAATTGTTATTCAGAGAATTGACCTTCAGCAGCCAAAGAATCGGGGTCAACCGCAAAGCCGAACGCGGTCACCGAGTCGAGTGAGCCGATCGAGTTAAGGTTGAAATAAACTCACACTAGGCCCTCAACGCGAGATAATCACAACCCCAAACGTAGTCATCGTGACTATCGAATAGATGTGAAATAATCACTATGCCCTCTGAACATTTGTTATATTTTAACTTATACATCATATTTGTTTATTCTGCGTTATTACTTCCCCAATTTTTTTAGCAAAATATTAATTTGCATCACACTACTAGAATTCTTATTTACCCCTCCACTACGCTAAATACTTGTGTTAGGAGTTGGTTCATAATTTTATTTTCATGCATCGTGAATGCTAGTCTATTGACAGCTATCGATAGTCTTACAATCGCTAACATTACTTATTTGAAAAAAATATGTTATTTCATTTCAATTGTTTATGGCGTATAAACTTAACGTCAACAATAAATGCTACTGCGACTGATCTGTGCCCGGAAAACTTATTTTTATGCTTTAGCCAGGTACCTAGGAATCTTTTGTAAAAGAAATGGTATTATACATTTTTCTCATATACCCTACAAAACGTTTATTAATAATATAGATGTAATTTTTTAGCAGCCCTTGTTTTAAACACTTAAAGCCGGTAGTACGATAATCTTAGCTACAGCACTGCTTAGCCAGTCTTATTTCCTAACCATAGTTTTGTATTATTACAGGGAGTAAGGGACTTAACGAATACTGAAATAGTGTATTCACACTAAAGTCATTTCGGATATAATCACATTACAGTCAACTTTGGAAGTTTAATACTTTACTACGAAAAATCCTTTTATGACAGTTGTGAGATCGAAAGTTGATCGGTACTGAATTGAGACCGACTTTTATTACGAGAATTGGCCTTCAGTCTACGCACACTAACACAAGTTGGCGGCCGAGGGGAAGGTTCCGCGCTTCGTATGTTTGTTTGATTGCATTGCATTTTTCGACCGTTTGCGGTATATTATTTAATTGTTTTCGAAGACCCGACCCGACCCGTAAAATGTTCTGTTTACTTATTGTGATATCATTTTTCATTGTTTTTAACCAAAAGATTGAATATCATAAAAAAAGATGAATTTTCCGACAGTAAATTCCAATGCTTTTGGACTCAGAATGAAATTCTGAATACACTATTTCAGTATTCGTTAGAAAGAAAGAAAACATATTTTATTTCTAAAACACACGACAAAATTTTAAATAATAAATTAAAATACAGGTCGCAACCCTGTGCCAAAAACATACAGTATCAAATGTGCCAGCCATGTCACGCTCAAAGTGGCAACACCACACAGGCACTCTCGTGTCAAATGTATGACGTGGCATCAGCTCGTTTTTTTATGTAACGTCGTCCCTTACACCCTGTATTGTTATGATTCATTGTGCGCAGTTGACGCTTGTAAAACCAGTGGCCACTTTTAATCTTATTTCATGATCTGATAGATTCAACGCTCAGGAATCCAAAATGTTTTTATGTGCCTATGGTGCTAACGGTGTCACCGATCATCACATGCTAGCAGAGTACTGTTAACACGTTGCATTATCTTTCTGACTTTTTAGTTACCAAGTCCGTTACAGTTTGTTTTGTTTCAAGCTGCCAGGTTCAGTATGTTTCGTAAGAATCTTATTGTCCATTGTTAGAAGTCATGAAAAGCCAATCAATTACATAATTATGTTTAACACTTCTCTTACATTTCATTTTAGTAGGATTATATCGCAATTACTCGTTTCGAGACTTAAAAACATCACTGAGATCGTTGAGTTCTTTTTCAGGTTCTAAATCTTTAATTTAATCTTTGATTCCCCAAGATAAGTCAAGACCGGGACAGTCAGTAAATTAAAGATGGTGTAGTGTAGTACTGTTGACCATTTGTTTTAGTTCTAAAGACCTTAATGTAGTATGAATCTGCAAATCAATAGTTAAATAAGAAGGGAGCAGTTAGTTGTAATTGTCAGTAGGGTCACACTTCTCCGTACGCAACAAAATGGTTAAGGACCATAAAATTTGCTGCTTTGGTACCTTTTGGAAGTTTCTGGTTTTTAATTAACCTAAATATCTAGCGTCCCCGTCAACGACTAAATTTTGTATAAACTTGAAAATCCTTAATAATCCTTGAATATCCTTAATAATAGGCCTTCGATCGGGTCTGGCATAATACACTTCTCTCAAAGCTTCCTTCCTATGGGCTTTCCGAGAAATTATGTAACTGGGTCACCGAGAACTGAACCGTCACTGGTTTGCGTGTTCACCGCAAAAAACATACCGTTTGTCGTTTTACCTCGGTTTGTGAGCACCTCCCTAACTGCCAAAAGTTCGGAATCCTAGGCATAGACAAATCGAGCGAAGTCCAGTTTCAGAATCACTAGAGGGTAAGGTCAAAATCCCCTCGAAGAAGTTCGTTGTGCTGTATGATCGCATGGCATTACGTAGATATGGGTCACCAGTTTCCTTGCAGACAGAAGCTTTGAAGTCGTTATCGACTGTAAATGTAATCGTAAATGCTGGTGTCCCGCAAGGCTGTGTGCTATCACCTACACTGTTACTTCGGTATATCAATGATATGTTGCAAAATAGTAGCATCTATTGCTATGCCGATGGTAGTACGGGAGATGCATTTTTATGCCAACCGCCCCAATATTCAAAACGTCATCTATAGTCGAAACAAACTTGTGTCTGAAATTGATTTGAGTCGACTAAATCTTATATAATATAGTTATAACCCAAAAAAAGCCACTGGTTTGTGTTATTCACCGCACAAAAGATATCGTTTGTCGTATCACCTCGGTTTCTCAGCACCTCCCCAACTGCCAAAAGCGCAGCATTCTAGGCATAGACAAATCGAGCGAAGTCCACTTTTATGGTCACTTAGAGTCAAAATCCCTTCGAAGAAGCTGAAGACTGATCGAGGCAGTATTTCACCTCCCCTTCAAATTTATAAGGCGCAAGTCCGACTGTAAATGGAATACTGTTTTCATCTCTATGTAGGGGCACCCTAGAACCAGTTTCTGACTCTGACATAGCCAGATCTCCGATCGGCTCGACCCCTTGGCGTTACGTAGAGATATAACTTCACTCTGTATTCTCTGTATTCTCTGACATATGTATCATGGATAGTGCTCCGAGGAATTATTCGGACAAATACCGGCTGCAACTTTCCACCAGTGTTCCACATGGCAAAATTTTATGCCTGCTGTCAACATGCTTGTGACTCCTGATTGTCGCTTTCCATCAGGTGACCCGTCTGCTCGCTCGCTGGTTGCCCGCTCTATCATAAAAAAAAATATCTGGCCCGG